GATATATAAAAGAATAAACCGTGAAGGGAGAATTATTATATAATTCTTTCAAGTTCTCTCGCTTTGGGGAATATTATTGAGGGTGGGGAGAAATATTTATTTCTATTTTGAAACGTTTTTTTTTTAAATTTTAATTTTGATATTATTTAAGTCTTTTTTTTATCAAAATTTTTTTCGTTTGTCTTTTTTATAAAATTTATATTTTTAGATTGTAAAATAATTTAATTTTTGAAATATATATATTTATTATAAATAAAATGAAAAAATTAGTTAATAAAAAATTAATTACAAGTTATTATAAGTTAGAAATAATTTTCAATATAATTTTGATCTAAAAATGTGTTATTTTTTAAAAGATTTATAATATGAATTTTGAATTTATATTTATTGGATAAGAAAAAATACTCATAATATTATTATTATTTTATTAAATTATATTAAATAATTTATAATAATCTTTACTTTTTTATAATGTTAATTATTTATTAAATATGTAACTCCTAAATTTTTAAAAATAATGAAAAAATAATTTAGTAATATTTTTGATTTTATCATCAAAATATATAATATTTTAATAAATCTTAATCTAATTATTTTAAAAACAATAATAATAATAATAATAATAATAATAATAATAATAATAATAATAATAATAATAATAATAATAATAATAATAATAATAATAACATAATTCAATTAATAATTATTTATTTAATGATTATTTAATTTTAAATTTCATAATATTATATTTATCTTAATGTGGTTTAACACCGAGTGCACCACTTTTATCTCAATTTGCACTTTCCAACTTCAACACGCGATTTATCAATCATTTATTATGTAATCAAATAGAAAAGAAACTCAAATACTCTTAGCTATCTGTGACCAAAAGGGTGTTTATAGACCAGCAATTGTATTTAACTTAGAATCTACAGGTGAAGAGCACCTGTAGATGGGGATAGCTACTCTATATATACACAAATGAATGGCCTAGCCGCAATGGCTAGGCAAAAAGAAGTCATATTTATTCCTCCAATGATCTTACTTTACCGATAACCATTGATACCTAGTACTTGTCCGGATCTGATCCTCAGGTCACCTAAATCGCATACTAATCTCGAGTAATCGTATCATGTGTGGACATGGTTAATGTACCTGAGGTTTCTTATATAATAAAGGTGGGAGGAAAGCAGGGATTTCCGTCACACTATCGAAGTTATTCAAAAAGATAAAAAACTAAGTATTCGAAAGACTACCAAGCTATATAATATAATATATATAATACTTCTCTGTAGAATAAATGATTTAGCTCTTTATATAGAAATTCGAGCAAATAATCATAAAATAATCGATTTAGAAAAGAAGATATTTATTCAATATATAATTAATATAGATAAAAAAGGGTTTGTATCTAAATTAAGTAGTGTAAAAGATATAGCGAATTATATTCTTGAATCGCAGAGAACGAAGAAGATTGAAAAGTTTTAGATCTATCGATTTGTAAAATATTATATGAAATTAAAGATTTATTTTAGTTTGTATTTATGATTTCCAAAGAGTTCTTTACAAAGATCTCAAGCTTATTAAAGAATGATTTCGATTAGTATTGAATATATAGGCGAAATATAGTATTCAAGATTGTGATTTCTACAATTTCAACGAAACCAGCTTTATAATAAGTATAATATACCTTGGAATAATTATAATTAGTGTTGAACGAAATGGTAGAAGCAAGGCAATACAATCAGACAATCGAGAGTGGGCTATAGCAATTATATGTGACAATAAAGAGGGTGAAACTATACCTCCATTTTTGGTAGTTCAAGGATAAGTTCATCTTTTTAATTAATATACCGAAACTGATTTTTCTATGGATTGGGCTATTAAACCTATTTTCAATGAATGAACAAAGAATAAGACAAGTCTAGAATAATTAAAGCATTTCGATAAATATACTATTTGTCAAAGGAAGGGCAAATATCGAATGCTAATACTGGATAGGCACGAAAATCACGAATCAATACCTTTTCAATCATATTGCAAATCAAATGATATTATATACCTCAAATTATTATTATATTCAAGTCATTTAACTCAACCACTTGAAATTCTTTATAGCTTTCAAAGCTGTATATCAACAATCAATCATCTCTCAGAATATGAAAGCTGGCTTTCGAGGAACAGGTCTAATTAAACCTTTGGATCTCTCAAACTCCTCACAATCCAACTAAAGCTCTTTCTCAATCAATTTTAGTGAAATCTCGAATAGCTCGTTATCAATCAAGCTCCCTTACACCTATATTCGAAACTGTACTAGCTTTAGCTAAAGGTACAAAGAGATTAGTATATGAAAATACATTTTTAAATATAGAAAACTATATACTTCGAAAGGTAAATAAGGTATTAAGCAAATGTCGATATACGAAAAAGACTCAATTACATCAAGGAGGAGTACTTACTGGACAAGAAGCTGCAGATATATTATCTCAACAAAAAATTGATATTCAGATTCAATGCGATGAGCGCCAAAATGGGTAAAATTCTAATAGGGAATCATCTACTAATCGATGCTGTAGTAAGTGTGGAAAGACTGGTCATAATTCAAGAACTTGTCAAAATAGTATAATAGATCCTAGATTATTAGATTCTTAATAGTTTTAATTGATTGATTTAATGACTGTTGAATGATATGAGTTAGAAAGTGCAAATTGAGGTAAAAGTGGTGCACTCGGTGTTAAACCACGTTAAAGTTATGATTCAAATGTTACGACCAATCCTAACAGCTACTCAGGTGACTAAGCTTATGGTCACATGACCCAATATTGTCCCACCTAGAATCACTCAACTACAGGCAGTGGGACATGATGGGAGGCGATGGGATGTATAATACGAAGGTCTATATAATCAAGATGGATTTCCTTTATATAGAGCTTCGTGCTCAAGATCAATCATTTAGTATACTCTACTATTAGTTACGGATTGCATCATTGTCATTACTTAAGTCCCTGCTTGACGCCTAGTTATAAACCACTTCGACAGCCTAGAGCACTTCCACGTGATCTAGACGGCAAACCTCGTAACATCAAATTATATTAAATTATATTTATTAATTATGAAGTTATTAATAGATAAAAATCACGATTTTTGATATAAAAGAATGACCGGAATTAGAGGTGACCAGAAAGTAGAGTACTAGACTTACTCACCATACAGTATAACACTTTTTATCTAAAACTGTGACGGAAACCCCTGCTTTCCTCCCACCCTTATTATATAAGAAACCTCAGGTAAGTTACATTAACCATGTCCACACATGATACGATTACTCGGGATTAGTATATGATTTAGGTGGTCTGAGGATCAGTGTAACGATACAGTACTGGAGGCAGCGGCTGCCTAAGGTTTCGTCTGGTTGGTAGTTGTGGGTTAAGGCTTTATCAATGGTATTCACTTGGAAGTGAATTCGTTACTACATCAAGTAGAATTTAGGTAAACTAATTGATAACTAAATTGAGCACGAAGCTCCTAAACTATGAAACTACTCTGACTATATAATGATCGATAAAGGGAGCCCCTAGGAGCCAGAAAGCTCCTAGGGCTCCTTATCACGTGACTCCTTTTCATCTCAAGACACTAATCCTGATGGTGAATCGTGTCAATCAGATCCGGACAAGTACTAGTGTGACCAAAAGGGTGTTTATAGACTAGCAATTGTATTTAACTTAGAATCTACAGGTGAAGAGCACCTGTAGATGGGGATAGCTACTCTATATACACACAAATGAATGGCCTAGCCGCAATGGCTAGGCAAAAAGAAGTCATATTTATCCTTCCAATGATCTTACTTTACCGATAACCATTGATACCTAGTACTTGTCCGGATCTGATCCTCAGACCACCTAAATCGTATACTAATCCCGAGTAATCGTATCTTGTGTGGACATGGTTAATGTAACGTGGTTTATCAGTATGTGCACCATATCAGTATGTGCACCACTTTTACCTCAATTATTATCTTTCTACTTCAATATGCGATTTATCAACAATCTATAATGCAATCGAATAATAAAGAAGCTCAAATACTCTTAGCTATCGAAGCTATTCGAAATGATAAAAAATTAAGCATTCGGAAGGTTGCAAAGCTATATAATATATCGTATACAACACTTATCTGCAGAATGAATGGTTTAACCCCTCGTATGGAATTTCGACCAAAAAGCCATAATTTGACTGATTTGGAAGAGGAAGTACTTATTCAATATATACTCGATATGGATGAGAGAGGATTTAGTCCTCGAATAAGTGATGTGGAAGATATGACGAATTATATACTCGAAACACAGGGTGTGAAGAAGGTTGGAAAGCTCTGGGCTCATCGCTTTGTGAAACGATATACAGAATTAAAGACGCGTTTTAATCGCGTTTATGACTTTCAAAGAGCTCTCTGCAAAGATTCAGAGCTTATTGAAAGATGGTTTCGATTGGTATCGAATATGCGGGCCAAATATGGTATTCTTGTTGACCTCCTGGGATCTTGGCAGCATATGCATATATATTGCATGATGCATATAAGGAGCAAACAAAACTCAACTTTTAATTCATTCTTTCCTTTTTGGTATACTGTTTGTTTGCTTTCAATATTTTGATTTCAAAGCACTTTAATTCCGAAGGCTGAATACCTAACCTTATTCCTTCATTTTTTTGAATATATACTCGCAGCTTAACTGCTTAGCTAGAGAATCAATCAATTCAATCTGATGCTCTTTCTGGTCTCAAGAAACCCAATAATTCTGGATTGCGATTTCTACAACTTCGATGAGATAGGTTTTATGATGGGACAAATATCATCACATATAGTAGTTGCTAAAGCTGATCGATGTGGAAGAAGCAAAGCTATACAACCAGGCAATCGGGAATGGGCTACAGCGATTATTTGTGTTGGTGGAGAAGGTCACAATATACCTCCGTTTTTGATAGTAAAAGGCGAATACCACCTCTCAAATTGGTATACCGAAGGCGATTTACCATACGATTGACTTATTAAACCTACTACCAATAGATAGACAGATAATGAGACAGGTCTTGAATGGATTAAGCACTTCAACAAACATACTGAAAGTAAGAAAGTGGGTAGATATCGAATACTAGTGCTTGATAGGCATGAAAGCCATAAATCGCCAGCATTTCAGGAATACTGCAAGGAACACAACATTATATTACTTAGTTTACCACCTCACTCTTCACATTTAACTCAATCACTTGATATCGGTTGTTTTGGTCCTTTAAAGCGTTCATATAGTCGATAAATCGAGAACTTTATCAAAGTGTATATCACTTATATTACCAAAACCGAGTTCTTTCAAACCTTCAAAGCTGCATATATCGAAGCAATATCTATATCAAATGGTAAAGCTGGGTTCCGCGGAGCTGGGCTAATCCCATTTAATCCGGAAATTGTACTTTCAAAGCTAGATATTCGAATAAGAACTCCATCAAATAGATCAATATCAGCCGATCCTGATATATAGTAATCTCAAACACCTCACAATCCAACTGAAGCTCTCTCTCAATCTACTTTAGTGAAAAGTTGTATTGCTCGGGAGCACTTTCAGTAGAGAATGGGCATGATATATTAGAGCAAGAGAATGTAGATGATCAGATACGATGCAACGAATATACAAATGATAATTCTTCAATAAGAAGGCAAGCTACTATACAACGATATAGCAAATGCAGTAGTACTTCATATAATGCACGAACTTGTCAATTAGATCCAGCATTAATTGATCTTTAGATTGTATATAATTTAATTCTATTTTATAATGTTGTTGTAATTTTATTTTAATTGAAAGATAATAATTGAGGTAAAAGTGGTGCACATGCTGATATGGTGCACATACCGATAAACCACGTTACTGTAAAGATAAAGGGAATGCTAGACCGGTTTAAAATTTAGCTGGCAGAGGAATAACATCAGAGACAATGATTCGCAAGGTAGACTCTTCGCCACTCATCTTTGCAACCGCAGAATGATCTAGTAAATGACTGATTTGAAATTTAAAAGAAATTGGTGCATGGTCCGTTGCGGTAGTTAGCACGGTTCAGTAAAAGAAGTATAGAGTGGTGGGTGTGTATAGTGTACCTAAATTAACTATTTGTGTTGCAGTCAACGCCAATAATCTAAATACTACTAACATACCAAGATGAAAAAAAAACTTAAGAAATCGATGGCAAATTCTACTTAGGCTGAGAAGCTGCATCTTGGACAGCGAGGTAAATCTTCTCAAGTCGCAGGAATTCCTCATAAGTTGGACCTGGGTCAACCCAAGTTCCAGCCTTTAACCCCGCAGCTCTAACAACCGCAAATCTGTCAACGAAAGCATCACATTCATCGTCGTCCATTACTACCGTCATTCTTCTGAGATCTGACTCTCTCGCCTCCCAGGCGAAGTATCGATCTGCCGCTTCGAGATGTTCTTGTTCCTTCAAGTCTTCTGCTCTTTTTCGTTCCTCCTCCTCTCTCATCATCTTTCTTTTTGCTGCTTTTGCTTTCTTGTGGGCTTTTCGTTCTAACGCCATCTGATCAGGTTGTGTTAATATATTCAGTCTTTCCTGCGAGAATGTATTGTCTGGCGAGATGACTTTATCTACCATCCAGCTAGGCAATGCCCTGTACATCCATTCGGCATTCTTTCTTAATTTTGCTGGATTTTCAAGTACCTTGAGCAATTCTCCAGCTGAAGGTCTTTTGTTATGATCAAGGACTAGTGATTTTTGAATCATAACATTCAAATCCTCACTGTAGTTAAGGTGGATGGGATGTACTCTTCTAGGATCCATAAGAATCGCCTGTTGATGCTCCTTGGTGAGATCTGCGAACGACTTATTTTCCGCCGTATTCCATGGTATTTTGGTGGATGTACTCCCCCGAAGTCTGGTTAGTGAGTACATTATCGATCCCGCACGCCAAACATCACTTTTTGCACTTATAAAATTTATTCCTGGAGGCTTGTATTTCGGGTTGTCATCCGGATCGTCTATCACAACACCTTTTCCGATCGGAACAAAAAGTGATTTCCCAAAATCTCCAAGTCTTACATCTGGATAGACACCGTCCCGCGGTTGCATGAAAGGCCACACAAGGTATACATTCTCGGCGGCTAAATCGGGGTGAAGAATAGACGGGCGATTCAAATGCTTGGGATCGTTCTGATACTTAGGATGCTCATTGTGAAGAAAAGCAAGAGCTTCAATTAGCTGACTATATATCCGCCATATGAACTGCTCTGGTGGTATCTTTTTATCTTCCTTGTAACCCATGCGTAACTGTTTAAGGTTACCACCATCGCAAATCCGGAAGAATTGGGCCATCATAAGCTTGTCACCATCGCGGTATTGATGAAAAGCTTCAAGGTTTTTGATATTTTCATGGCCATTCTTAATATAGTGAAGATATGTCTTTATCTCATGTTGGCGTTTGGCATCGTAACTCCCATTTTCAATTCTTGTTGGTGATTGTTCTGTATCTTCGCTACCTGGAGATAATGGAGGGGACCATGGCCCCTCATCTTGTATGACTTTCAGCTTGAGGTCATACTGACGGTGTCCGGCTGTGCCTGTATCAGTGACTCCAAAATGGAAATTCTTCCCACTGCTGCGTAAGTGGGTATCGAATCGAATTTCCTCAGGGTTCAGCCTATGTGGCCTCCTGTGTATGTTATCTCGAATCCTGAAGGTGGGACTAGCACGCTTGTAGGCAGCAGCCTTTTCTTCAGCTTCAAACAGCACCATGATGTTTGTTAATCCTCATGATACGAACTTTCGAGGTCAGTGTTCCACATTCAAATGTAATCATTTCTTTGTCTCTAGCTTGGTTCGAGGATAGAAAGAAGTGCTTTGAATGAGTAAAATTACAACTGTCAAAGAGCTTTAGTTTTGACACATCCGGAAAGTATCAGGGATTCTCTGTTCATATATCTGTCAGTCTTGGGAAAATTTCAAATATATATAGTTTTGAATGAAGAAAAGCTAACTACAGTTACGATAGTATTAGCATTCAGATCTTAAAACAGAGGGTGGTAGCGAGTGATAGAAGGCGGAAAAGGTTAGAGCCATCTAGATGAGAAAAATCATAACCTAATGCGGTATTTGAAATAATGAACAGTATGGAAGTGACCAATGTAACTAATTATGAATGCAATAAAGATGACCATGAGACTGAAATTTATACTTGACCGTGTACTAAGGGCAATCTTGCAATACTTTACCATCCAAGCTTTAGCTTTAAACCTGTAATCACAGGTCATTCTGTTATATACTGCAGCGCTAACTAACACATAAAACGAGTTAGTGGTATTTTATTATCTTCGAAACGAACGGTAATTATCCTTCGATTTTCTATGAGAAATTTGTTCAATGCATATCGAATCTCTTTGATGACATCCGCGGCTTTCTCCGCCACGGCATAAATCGAAGATTGGATGTTCCCTCGTTAGATTAGAGGGAAAACACTTGCATCAACTACGCCAAGCTATTGATAACGTGTGAATGATCAGCTTCTCATCCACAGCATCTTCCTTTTCTTTCGGTAGCATTGCAGTCGTACCATACGAGTGGTATACAGTCGTGGCAGTATCAAGGGTAAACTTCCTTACTCCTTCGAGAGTATGAATACAGAAAGGGTTTGGATGGTTTCGCTTCCCATTATGCTTGAGGGCCAAGAGCTCTTTGGTTTGACGAAATGTCGCAAGTGTCTCAAGTGTCTGAATGTGATGTGCGAAGATTTTGAGATCAGCAAGATGCAAGAGAAATTGTGTGTTCATCATCGATATTTTATAAGGAGATAGGGGTAATAATTCTGGAATCTACTCACCGCACACTGTAACGTTTTATGATAAAATCCCTGCAAAAACCATAATCTTTCATATAAAATTAAATATCAAATAGCTTTTTTAATATTAAGTTAAACTATTTGAAATCTTTAAATATAATAATTGTTAAAAGGAATGACCTTACACAGGGAATAGTGGGAAGTGTTACGACGGGTAACATATTTCCGTATCACATGACTAATCACAGGATCAGAGCTATCATGTGACCGGCTCTAATCAATCTAGTTAGAGCCTCTAGAGCCAGAACACGAAGGTCTATATAATCAAGATGGATTTCCTTTGTATAGAGCTTCGTGCTCAATATCAATCATTTAGTATACTATACTATTAGTTACGAATTGCATTATTGTCATTACTTTAAGTCCCTGCTTGACGCCTAGTTGTAAACCACCTCGAGAGCCTAGAGCACTTTCCACGTGATCTAGACGGCAAACCTCGTAATAAGAAAAAGACATCTGATTAATATAAATACTGAGTTACTATATTATAGTTAAAAATACAGACAATGGCCTGCAAACACCGTTTCGATACATTATCTACTTATAGAAATCATTTTCTATGCTCCAGAGGTTGAATTGCAATTAGATCATGCTATTTAAGCAATAAATCCAATGAACTACCTCACCCATCAAGCAACCATCTTTCTCGGCTCAGGCTCAGGATTGTACTCCAGTGCCGCTGGAAGCTCAGTCCAGTCATTGTCGATTGTCAGACATCTTTTTTCCCACCCATCGATTCTTTCTCTTTCCCTACCTTTAGCAACCACACTAACACTATCATCTAATCCAATTGACATTGCTTCCCAATCATCACCATCGTCCTCGAAATCTATCTCTTCATCATCTTTCTCCATCCAACTAAAAATCCATTCCCTATCCACTTCATTGGCCATAGCCTCTTCCATTGATGCTCTATACTCATCATTTGAATAATTCGCAAAGCCACTTGATGGATAAATATCACTAAGCACCACCTCCAATTTCCTTACTTGTACCCTTACCTTTTCATAATTGTTCTCCGCTTCAATAATTTCTTCGGTCGCCACCTGATGTCCTTGCAGTAGAGTCAAATCGAAGAAGCTTCTCGCAGGTTCCATTGTTCCATTCTTGACCGCACGTGCATAATCTGCGTACTCGTCTTCATAGTAGTGTTTCCAATTATTGAGTTTTTGATGCGCTTCTTGCAACCGATATCCCATTTTTTTTTCATGTGATCCACGGCCCCTCGTGGTTTTTTTCCGGCTCGCTCCTGAGCTTCTTCGCTACCGGCACGAGATCCTTCGTATCGAGATGTAAGCTTTGCAGCTGGCATGCGATAAAATTCATTCGGTCGTGCATCCCTTCCAGCTGTATCCAAAAGATTCCGGTCCTCAAGCACGTCTCTAAACCTACCAAATAGAACTTTTCTCTGCTCGCTCAGCTCGTTATCTTCTCGTTCCAACACTTCTTGTAACTCCCTCTTCTGATCTTGGATGCGTGAGGAAACGTCGGAAAGATATTTTAATTCTTCCAATTTAGCCTCTCGATCGCTTTCTCTGGTGGTGCCTGATGATGGAAGTAATCGATTGCGTTCTTTTAAAGCCAATATAACGCGCTCATACTTTTCATCTACTCGATCTATATCCTTTCTATGATCATTGACTTGTCCTTCAAGGCGAAATATTTCATTCATATTTCTAAACATGTCTTTGGTCAAAGCTAGAGCGGAATTTGGCACACCATTTCGTCCCATGTATATGAATATTTCAGGATACCTTGCTGTTAAAGGTGCTCGCCTTGATGTTTCTTTCGAGTCGACGATTGAGGCTGGTGGTTCAAATGAGCATGTATGACATTTTCTCATATTTATTTGTGGAGGTGAAAGTGATGTGGCATCGGTCAATACCACGCTCGAGGGCGATAAGGGTTCTCTGTGGAGAGGACTATCCGACTTGATCCTGCTTGCTCTTATTCTTTTCAACAGTTTGCTTCTAGGTGTAGAGATTGAGAAGGACTCCTCTCTGATCGAAGTTTGATATGCTGAAGTCGATGCCGTTGCTGTATCTGTTGGTTCAGGCACTGAAACCGTATTGGTTATCGGTGAAGTCTGAGCTGTTGACTCTAGTACGTGCTTCGACCGAGCACCTTTTCCGAATGCTAAGCCGAGAAATCCCCTGAGAGATTTACCGTTCTTCCATTGATCAATCGACGTTTTAATTGAGAAGAATTAAATTACTAATTATACTTCATATCTACACAGAGTGCACGAATGATGACATTCATGCGAGGTTGGTTAATAATATAGCCATTGGAATCGGCCAGAATAGAGGAGAATTCGTATGACTTGCGTTCGAGACTGACGTAAGACTCCAAGAACAAAGGAAATTATATTTTTGGAAAATCTGTAAATTTTTCTTACGAAAACACGTAATTCACGTGCATACCGCTGTCGTAGGAAACAAAGAAATGCACCACCGAACGAGGAATTTATTGACAGAAACCTGCCCGTAACGCGATGACTGCCAATCTTTTTAGTGATAGAATAGAAAAATCCCTCTAAGATGTTATTAAAGATTGCCCAGAAGTTTCCACATCCTATAGAGCCCAAATCACGTGTAGCTAGTGCCCGTTTTATTCTTTTTCTTTGGAACGTGGCTGCTAGATGGAATTGCTGTTCACTGAGTATATTTATGAGAATTATGTGTCCCTGCAACATTTCGATGGTCAATTTACCTCATCTAATTAAGCATTACGTTTCCACAGGAGAAGCAGAGGCCCTTATCCTTTAGTCCTATGTTGTATATTGAAGTTTTGAAGGATAAAGAGGCACACGACCTTTGATTGATCGAAAGATGTGGTCACACTGAACGTTACTAATCAATCTCATACAATAATTTCTACCATGAACCGCAAGTGTTGCAATTTAATTTCAGTGATTTGTATATTTTATATGAGTTTGACTATATTTGAAGGCATATTGGTGACATTGCCTAAATACCGGTATGCTAATATAAGCCAGCGTTTTCGAGCATTGAACCCAAATGCTGCTGTATCTTGCTGATGAATACTGCATAAAAAATCCTCCAAAGAATTGTAAAAAGGGCTATGAACGTGAGGTACGTTCAGTGGCTATGCAAAATACCTCCATCCTCTCAAGTGCCAGCCATCAAACCCACATCTGGATCGGCAATGTGTTGACTTCAACACATCAACCTCTGGGGCCTCTGCTGTCCGCGTGAAATAGGTTTCCGGTATTTATCCACATGTCTCTCCAAAGAAATAGATGAAGCTAGATGAGATAATCATGCATTTGGGCGCAACAATTCGTTAGATGGATTTATATTTGAGTATATAGTCCTACCTACTTCGCATTATCAGCTATAGAAACTCGTGGTTATGCGCCTACCCATGTGCTCTAATTGTGACCTGTAATGAATGCGCTTGTAATTGGGACGCTCATATTTTTTGATAGGATTTTGTTGATTTGATTAGTGCGAGGCATACAAAAGTTCACTTGAAAAGCAATTGATGTTGCCAAAATATATATCGATCGCTGCGCAACTTGGAAACTTTTCACGGCTCAACCAGATCTCGATTGCAGCTAGTAGATAGTTATTTCGTGCTCTGCTTGGTAGCAATGAATTGCGGTCTGCACGATTCACTACAGGCACATGGAAAATACCAAACACAAGTTCGGTGGCTTTCGCATGAAGCTCTGACCCCAGATACCACCGACGACCATTGATATGGGCTCTAGTGTATAGGAACCACTCGACTCTAAGGTCAATTGAGCTATGCAACAAATCTCGCGTCCTCCATAGTCCAAGTCGATGATCTAGCCTTTGAGAATCGGGTCGATGGAATTCATGCTGACCATCAAGTCCTGTTCTGATCGGCCCATTTCACAACGAAACCAAAAACTGTCCTCCTCAGCTCTTCATCTCCTCTATCCTTCTCAAACATAACTTTTTCCATCTTCTCTTCCAAGATCTTTTCAACAGTCATACCTCCCTCCCGTGCCAAGTCAAAAAATGCCATGTCTTTCTCCAATAGCCAAGGTCGATATGGAGTAAAAAATACGAGGGCTGTAGAGTTTCTATCCTTCTTAAGAGTTTTTTTGATAGAATCCAATAGTTTCGCGTGCTCGGAGTGATTAAAGAGGAGATCGGCTAGTATTAATACATCAAACCCAGCGTCTTTGTCCTCTGAAGGTAGGAGTGACAGTAGTGGGGATGGATCGGCACCCCAACAATAACCTTCAGCGATCAAGCTTTCTTTATCATCTATCTTTAGCTCAGGGAATTGCTCATAAAAGACGGAAATGTTCTTTCGAAGATTGTCGATGAGGTCTGAATCTGGATAATCCGTGACGACGACATTTTTGGCACGAAGAGAAGCACAAGTGAGACTCGGAAGACCAGCACCTGCGCCAAGCTCTAGTATCGATTTCGAAGAAACCAACGAAGGATTCTTTTCCAAGTAGTTGGATATGATGCGACCAGCGTTCCAAAGATGATGTCCCCAAAGTGGGTTGTGACCGACGAGATGCAGAGTAAGTGTGTGACCGGAGAGAAGCGTATGAGTTTCTGTGGTTGGTTTCGGCGATGGAGGATAGTAATCAGCTGGCTCAGCAAATAGGTCAGGACCATCCTCAAAATCCGAGTCAGTCATGATAATTTGGTCGGAGGATTTAATCACGTGTGTAAGTTATGCCGTGCTTGGAAACTTCGAAGATGAAACGAGGTCAGTGTGCTACTAATAAGGCGGGAGGTTGGGAACGATGAGAGATGTAGATGAGACATTCATTGGGATTTTCTTAGTGAAACATGATCCTCGAGTAGATGAGATAAAGTTAGGATAACTCTACTCCACAACCTGATGTATATACTCGAGTGTACTTAGGGATAGATAGTTAGAGAGCGCTTACCCTTGTTTTGAATATGATGTTTGTCCTAAGGGAAGAAAGAGGAGGGAAGAGGAGAGAATGGTAGGTAACCTTTGATTTATAATTGTTTGTTCTGTTTTTGTTTCTTTCGTCGGTTGAAGATATCCTCTAATGTTTCGGAGTTTCCAAACCCCAGACGTGCGTAAGATGCGATCAGTTCGGTTGGTATTGCAAAATATATTTTTCATCGCCCCACCATCATTATGCAGATTTAATATATGGAGTATACCCAATGTCAACCAATAGATAGCTAGTATGTGTATCTGGTAGTATCTACTCTGTAGTCCACCAGTCTGCCTGATAAGATAAGCGAAGGGGAAAATGCCAGGACTGACTATCTAGCTCTAGGTACTTAAAGGAAAGGGAAATAATAACTGAGCTTCTCTTTTCGTGTGATATTGTACCTGAACATAAAAGAGATTCCTGGAGGATGAAGTTAGATCTATCTACCAAGTACCTGCCTAGTATTAATAGCAGCAGGCACGGGCTATGGCTTACTTCCCTTGTAAGGAGTAGCTGTATTCGTCAATCAACTACAACTATTGGATTCCAGTAATTGATCTGCATTACCTTGATGGACGGATTCTCTGCGGATTATAAGACTCTACTAAGTATCTTCTTATAAAAGAGCGTGAATGGGAGATAAAATTGACAATATATATATTCTCCATGTATGACTAGACATCTAACATTAGGGATTTAATCAATTGAATGACGCTCCGCTAGCCCTCTGGGGGCCACTGCCGTGGAGGCAGACTAGGTAGGTATAGATAGAAGATCTTCGAGCGCAGCGAGCTATGGGGGTTTTGGGGCTTGCCCCCATAAAGAAGAATATATAAGAATGTATAATGATGCCTATATAATATACTCAAAATCAATTGAGATGATTTTACCAAGATATATCCATTATTCATTAACTTGTTGTTTGGCCTCATGTTTTGCATGTCATCGCACGGCTGTCGAGTCCAAGCAGCCAATTAAAACTTGCTCAAATCTTGACAAGGTTTTTCACACTTCACTCCTCAACTCTCAAATCAGCAAATAATATCAAGCAACAACAATATTCTTCTTCAAACCCCACTAACCTGTCACCGCGACCGACCGACCCTACCTACCATGTTGAGATCTTACGATAATAGTAATGGTAATACCTTAATACCTACTTACCTGCCTACTTACCTATTCACTCACCATGACTAACTCGATTTCTCTCATTCAATATTCGTTAAGAAAATCCATCGTTTTACTTGTAGCTGTCCGGATCTATTCTTGTCACCCGGTCCAACGTCCTTACCAATAGAACAAACAAGCAAACAAACAAACAAATAAGCAAATCCTCCATTTTCTCAATAGAAGATCAAAGGGTCAGACAAACGAGGCTCCATTGTTGCTTGATACCTGCAATTATCTATCTATCCATCTATCTTGCCTGATTCTTCTGTTCATCAGCTCGGATCCCTTCAACAACCTTCCCACCCACTTTCTACTTTGAATTGGGAACATCCAATTCACCCTATATCCGGAGTAATCATCCGTTCATTTCAGCTTTTTTGATTTTTTTCTGGTTTCCTGCTTCAATACTTTCTCATGATATCAGTTATTTCACATTCAATCCCTGTTGAATTCTTTCCACCCTCTGCGAAGCACCACCTTGGGTCGGATTTCTATTGGAAACACGCAGGAACCATTTCATACAAGTCGCACAAGTCAGACCTTTCATCATTTTCCACATCTTCTTCCCTGCGCGGTGGTTGCGCATGCAGTTAGTGATTCAAGAACACAAAAAAGCAACATCAAATCAAGGTCGTCTGAAGGAATTGTTTGCGCTTCAAATCTTTCGGTTTTGGTCAGCCGACATTCGTTCTAGAGCGGCTCGAGAGAATATTAATTGTTTCAAAGATGCCATTGATCAATGGATTGAAAATGGCCTGGTATGTTCAAGACCCACCCTTGGCGTGTTCGTGATTGGTAAAATTTCCGGATAGGTGCACTTGAACTGGTTCACAAGACAAAGGATATATACTTTTGACCTACCCGACCATTTGTCCTTGATGTGCTAACATAGACGCGCTATAGTGAGCCATGTATCAGAGGCCATCGATCAACAAAATGTACACACGCGAACGAGAGACTGATGGTACCGGTGAGGAAACCTGGTCGACCTCTCAGTGCATGCCCTCATCCAAAAGATCAACCATGTAACTGTGGAAGTGTCACCGCTGCTATTCCAAGGAAACAAGCATGTCACTGTGGTACCGATACACCTGTGTCCACCCCTCCGACCCCTATGCAACGATTAAACTCCATATCCGATCCAACTTCTCCAACGCAACTCACATTCAAAGTCCACAAGACTGCATCAAGGCCGCAGTCGGGTAGGAGACAATCATTCGATCCGGTGAATTTTGACCGGATGGATTTGAATCAGGTCAACATAGTTCCTTTTGATCAACATACTCAGAGGATGCAAATCATTCCCCTCAACACATATCATATATCGACTGCTCCTCAACCTTATGGATATGCTCCACCACAGTATCCACTTGTGCAACAACAATATGCCAATGTTCCTCTCCAGCTACCTCCGCCTATGCATAGCTTAGGAGCACCAATGTCAGACATAAGAACAAATGGGTATGCGAATGGACATGGCAGTTTAGATCAAGTGGTGGAAAGTCCTCTGGAAACACCAACTGAAGTTAAGAATGGGCAAATTACTCCAAAGATGAACGGCGGCTCTTGTTGTGCGCCATCTACCCCGGAAACTCCACCTTACATCGATAATGCTATTACGAACGGTGGTTCATGTTGCGCTCCCAGAAAAAATACCCATGCCCACACTTCTTCGAATGCTAGTACAATGTCGGAACCTACAAAAACTACACCTAAACCTAAAAGTTGTTGTTCTTCAAAGAACAAGCCTTCAAATACTCAAAGCTCCCAGACGAATACACCCTTGATGAACACACAAATACCACAAAGTGGATATTCGATGAACAATGCCATGTATTCACAATACCCACCTACTGTATTCACATATCCTGCTACTTATGGTTCTTATCAAAATCCACTGCAGCCATCTGCTTGGCGCCAAGGTGTACGTAATATGAGCTATGGTCATATTCCAGGACAAACATGTATTCCTACCGCACCCTTAGCCTTTGGTTCAGGTCCGCTGCCTCAGAACCTAGACACAGTTCATACTTGTGGCTGTGGTGATGGTTGTCAATGCGTTGGTTGTGCAGCTCATCCATATAACGATGCAACAAGACAATACGTCCTTTCGGCTTGGGAATCAATGCAACTCGAACCAGAAATGTACAATAATGGCCACGGGAATGGAAATGTTGCGCCTACTTCAGCTCAGACACAAGACGTGATCAAAGAAAATCCTACTTCTCCGCCTCCTGCTACTCCATCGAGTACTACTTCTGGAACCGTTGAAGAACAAAGTCTTTCAGCATCGGATTTCTTTTTTGTGAATTATCCTTTTAATACCGAAGATGGATGTGGAGGTGATACTCAAAGTTGCCCATGCGGCGATGATTGTCAATGCTTGGGCTGCACTATTCATCGTGTCCCAGAAATTCCTTGTCCAGGGGAGAAGGATACTTGTCCTTGCGGCAATGACTGTGCCTGCATTGGCTGTACTATACACAATATGTGATTTGTTATTATTACATATATTTGAGGGGCGACACAGTGAACATAATCAAGGAGGGAAATTTTGCAGTCAGGGTCATATGGGATCTGATATTTTAAGCGTATATTGAAGGAAATATGATACCCTTTTTATTATTTGAGTGCTGAGCCTCGAGGGCGATCCAAAAAGCTAGTTAGATAAGCGTGATGAGTTGACCCCTGGGTTGAAGCGAGCCATCACGAAAAATTGAAAACTTTTATTTTAATAGCACCGCCGGAAAATCACTACTGATTTAATTATTTCATGTGACATAGTATATTTCTCAACTATTTTCCGCTCTGTTTCAACTCACACTTTTTGAGCCATCTCCATGTTTCCCTCTCCGGACTAAAGAGTTTACTATCTTCTACTTCTTAACCCAGTCTAGTCCCATCTATAAAGGGAGACTGTTCTTTGAGAAGTTGGCCGTGTTGAATTTGAGACGCCGAGGAGTAACTTAGTTTCTAGCACAAGTCGTCTCGATATCAGTTTCTGTTTTCACTTGGGTTTCATATTAAGATGGTGGTTTTTTTGATGTTTTGGAATTCGCATTTAGATACTACTGGTTTACCTTTCAATTAAAACATAGTACGGGTATGTTATAAGCTGTCTTGATTGATGACGGTATGCATTATAAAAACGGAAATACGAGATACTGAATTTTTCTGGGAGCAGATGGAGATTTGGGAGTATAGTGATGGAGATGAGTTGAGTTTAGTACAAAAACATTCTTAACCTATAAATGTTTGATGTGCAAAAAAGAGTGAAACCTCCTGTTCTATGATTTATTTGATACCCTGACGACATTGTTTTCAAAACTCTATTCCTAACACCAAAAGAGAGTTAAGGCTCAAACTCTATGATAGCTCTAATATCCCTGCAACTCTCCTCTAAAACTTCTATAAATTTATCCACCTGTCCAAGAGGACCCCAAATCGATATCTTCGTACTATTGTGAACAAAAAAGTCAGTAAATACTCTAGACTCTTAGTGACAGAAAGCATGTAAACTCACAATTCATCCTTCGTCTCATAGGTAACAGAAACCCCATTCGGATGATCAAAAAAGTCACCTCCCTCAAGCGCCTCACCCACAATACAATTCGTCATAATTTGAGGAGGTCGTCTTTTACTCTTATATGTCGGATCCGTGAATAATACCGGGACCGTCTCACCTCCTCGAACGGACCATTCGAGCGCGAAGAGATGTCTATCAAATCCATGTCCTCGCGATGTAGTTACTACATTACTAGCATGAATTCGTGCAGCATCAAAGAATAAACCCCGTAACTCATCAGTAGGTATTTTAGTATCTGCAGCCGCGGCGCAGAAACTAGAAATAGAAGGACGCATAATGTGGTTTACATCAATTCGACCTTTGTGGAAGTGATTCAAGGAGATAGGTTCGAATGCTGCAGGGTTACGTCCAAAGTAGCGTCGAACGGCTAGTTGGATAGCTAGTTGGAAACCAGAATTGGGTGGACATTTGTGCAGGCGGAAGAGCTCGCGATTGAGGGTGGGGATCTCAAACGCGCGGAACTCGACGCGTGATGTGTCGTTTTTGAGTTGTGCTCGGATGCGAGTGATGTGCTCTTCGATTGATGGTGTGGTTTTGAATGTATAAGATTCTGAAACTGTGATCATAAGTGCTGGGTGAGAGGGAATATTAGTGAGTCTCTGAGGGTCAAAGGTCATTATTGCTTTGGTGACGAAATCATTCAAACGGAGAAATGTCACTCCGTCTAACATGGTGTGTTCGCCGATGGTTGCCGAAATTCCATTGTCACAGATGGAGAATTGGATGGTTTTATCACTCCATCTATTGAAACCATTGGCATGTAGAAAGTGCGGTGCTCTTTCTGAGGCATTCTGTGGCTGTACATCATCTAAGTAGACAACAAACGCGGAAGCTTCAATGTCACGAATCCATGTTTCGTTTTCCTTGCTTAGACTTTGGAGTTCGACACGGAGCTATCAAGAATTAGTATAATAAAGAAAATGAACAAGAGCAAACATACCTCTGCCCAACGATCGCGTGTATCTTGCGTCAACACTCCAACCCATGACTCTGGCTTTTGATCGCCATCCAGAATATTTTGAAAAGCATCTCTGAGCGCCGAATAGGAGGTAACCTCATCCAAATCATGTACAGAAATCTTGTAGACATGCCCCCTACGGAACGCAATCAGATAATCATTACCAGGATATCTTCTCATGAAATCTTTTGGATTTCCTGGTTCGCGGGTCGCGTTGAAAAACCACTGATAAGCATCTTTACTGATAGGCTGCTCATTATAATATCCATAACCTACTTCACCTCTCTCCAGCTGTCGCTTAAACCGAAATGCCGCATTCGAAATGATAGCTGCCCTCTCTGCGGCCGTGTGAGGAACCGGACTCATAAAATGCGTAGCAAAAAAGTTGAGCCAGGGAACTAATGAACGACGACCTTTTAGGAACATACTAGTCGCGTAGAATTCGCCGAGCCAATTTTCTACCTTGGGGTCCTGAGCTACTTTAGAAAGTCGAGCTTGGAGTTTTCGCCCGAATCCTTCTGGTTTGAGAAATTCAGTGACGTAATTCTCGTAGCGAGCGTATTCTTCCGAGGTGAGTACCGGGAGGAGAGAATCTAGAAATTGGGACAGAGAATTATCTAGATCTGGCAACGGCTGTTTTGGTAAGGTAATGATTTCAGTCACATTCTTCTGCTCTAAGATTTCTGGTTCCTTTTGCTTAGATGCGGTCCTCGGGTCGTCGCTTTTTGGAGGTTGACTCGGTAAATTCCTCGTGATGAGTGCTGATCTAGAAGCCACAATCTCAGCTAAATTCATAATATTTGACGCATCAGATATCTCCGAGGCTTGAAGCTTGGCTTGGAAGATCTGTGTGATCCAATTTTTCATTTCGATGATGACCAAAGAATCCAGTCCAAAATCAGCCATACGGCGCTCAAGTTCGATTTCTTCATAATCCATAGCCACGAGGTTGGACATCTTTCTTGCGATCTCTTCAGCAATTATCAGATTGATTTTGGAAGTATCTTTTGCCGCTGCGATAAGAGTTTGGATATTTTGAACAGGCGATTTATCCTCTTCGAAGCTTTGTCTACTTGAATGTCGGAGGAGATGTGAGAACATTGGGTTTTGGAGTGTATCTGTGTTATCTGATTCTGTGATGGATTTGTAATCGAATCCGAGGACAAATTGATTACTTCTCTCTCTTTTTGCAGAGTGGCTAATTGCGTAGCTTATTAAGGCCAGAACCTCCTTTAATTTGATCAAAACGAAGCCTCGGCGAAGCATACCTTCCTTTGCTCTCATTCTGTCCGCAATTATTCCAGCATCATCGATGGGACCAAAATCAATTGAAACAAAATTGGTGGTTGCGTCTTGGGAAGTTCTCTTGTTCTGTGCAAGTGTATCCATATAATTATTTCCCGCCGCATAATTGGCTTGAGATATCATACCTAGCATACCAGCAGTAGAAGAAAGCATGAGGAAGAAATCGAGAGGCTGATTGTTGAATACTTCGACCAGATTACTAGTCCCAAGACACTTTGGTTGGGTCGCTAGTTTGAAATCTTCAAGACTCATTTTGCTTAAGACACGATCCTGAAGGATTGTGCATGCTTGGATAACACTTTTTATTGGAGGCATATCAACGCCGAAAGGTGAAATTGACTCTCTTAACTTTGAAAGATCTGTGATATCGCAGGTCAAAATATACAATTTTGTCCCTAGATGTTTGAATTCTTCCTCGAGGTGTCCTAGCTCCGATGAAGCTAAGTGTCTTCGCGACATTAGTGCGATACTTTTTGTTCCATTCCTAGCAAGCATACGGGCAATTTCTAAACCAAGACCACCAAGTCCGCCGGCAATCAAACACACCCCTTCCTCAGAAATCATCAGGTCATTCGCCACTACCGCTGGTGCTTTAACTGTCGCTTCGAAATCGGCCTTCAAGATAACCTTGCCTGTATGTTTGCGTGTTTGAAGGAGCCTAAAAGCATCCTCAATATTGGTAATAGACATTGTGGTAATGGGATTGATAGGAAGATAAGCCCCGTCTTCAAACAAGCCTAAAACTGCTTGCAAAAGGCTTCTTATCTTTTGGGGTCGATAGTCGGCAATCATTTGTAGATCCACGGAAGAAAATGTTACATTCCTTTCAAAAGGTGCCATACTCAAACCCGCGTTTGACAAAGCGTCAGCTTTGCCGAGCTCAATGAAGACACCAAATCTTGCAATGGAAGCCCATGACTCCTGAAGTATCTCGCCGGAAAGAGAATTAAGAATAACGTCGACACCTTTGCCCTTGGTGATCCGGTGAATGCCTTGTCTGAATGTTCGCAACTTACTGGAAAATATGTGATCTTCCGGAATTCCAAACTGTTTGATAAGTAATTCGCGCTTTGCTGCATTTCCGACAGTCAAAAATATTTCTGCCCCGATATGCTGGGCAACCCGCAGCGCAGCTTGACCTACTCCACCAGCTGCCGAATGAATCAAAACAGTTTGATTCATTTGAAGGTTAGCAATATCTACAAGCGCATGGTAGGCCGTTGCAAAAACAACAGGTATAGAAGCAGCTACTTCGAACGACATTGACGATGGGAAATGGCTCGCTCTTTGTCCATCAAGTCTAACAGTGCTAGCATATGGTGACCCGCCCATACCGCAAACACGATCACCAACTTGAAACGAACTCTGGTGGTCAGATCCGACCTTGGTGACAACTCCAGCAAATTCGGCTGTCATTGAATAGTCCTTGTTAATTTGGCCTAGCGCTATGAGGACATCCTTAAAGTTTAGGCCACATGCCTCAACTCGTACCTCTATGTGTGAAGCTGGCAAGGGCCCTTCCAGTGCTTTATCATCCACAAATGAGAGACTATCCAGGAATCCAGGCTTTCCAACATGGAGCTTTAGTGGTCTACTGGGCTGATGGAATGGTTGTGTCTGCAGTTTTACCTTTCCACTGACGTTCTGTATACGCTCGTTGATGTTTTCGTTTTGCAAAAGCCGTGGTATTAACACCACTTGGTTCCTGTATATATACTCAAGCTCCTTTGCCAATTCACTAGAATCATCAAATCCGCTTTTGACAATTTGACTAATAGCTTGGATGAGCCCACCAAATGATTTGAAGATACTGTCTTGAACATCCATTGTTATGAGACGTAAAAGTTCATTTTCTGCTCGAACAACGCGGGCAAGCCCAGCAATCATCCCTTTTTCGGGATTCATGTTTGCCGTAGGATTATCTTGAGAGCTGACCCACAGTACCCGCGTAGCTTTCTCTAAGAGGCATTTAACATATTCAAATATCGTGGGGGTGTCGGTAGTCAAAATTGGATGTAAACCATCGTCAAGGATGATATATATATGCTCCCCACTAAACTGAGTGGTGAGAAGACTCTCCATAGTCACGCTGAATCCGTGCTTAATCAACCCAGAGCTTAAATCGATGGCAAATTGTGGAGGATGAACTGACCAGCTAGGGCAGAAAATTAGTTTTATCGGTAAACTTGGCCGGATTGAGAGATTATTAATCCGATCTGTTGCTCTGGATACTAGCATTGCCGAACGTTGAGCTTTGCCTTCGAAATCATTTGCGACAATTTCTACACCACTGAAACCGTTCCTTAACAGTGTGGACTGCCACTGTTCAACTGATAAGCCTGGACTATCGACCCGACCATCTCCTATACCTGCCCACCAGCCTTCTAGTAAACCAACAAAGGTGTTGTAGAGGGGTACGGTACGAGTCATTTCGATCATAACAATCTTTCCACCAGGTCTGAGAAGGTTCCTGACGCTTGACATCACGCCATCCATAGAAGAGGCAACATGGAGACAGTTTGCAGCGATAATTAGATCATAACCCTCTTCTTCAAAACCCTGTTCCGATACGCCGATGTTAAGGTCCAACTTTTTATACTCTAGATAGCTATCCCATCTCTGAAGACGAGCTCTGGTGCGTTCGAAGAAGCCAGAAGAAACATCAGTAAAGACGTACTTTTCGAAAGGAAGAATACCATTTGAATCGAGAGCCTCCAATAACGGAGCCGTGGTTCCTCCGGTTCCACCACCTAATTCAATGACCTTCATGTTTGGGTTTTTGAAAACAAGCTTTTTCATATACGAAATGACATGTGCATAGCATCGCGATGAAGCATCATCCGCGTAGAGACGGTATAAAAGGTCGTCTTCCAACATCAAGGAAAGCGCATCTGACTTTCCGATTAGAATGGAATCCAATTCGCGTCCCACTCGCCATAGCAACTCTCCTTCGACTCCAAGTTTCTGCGCATCTTCGAGGATTTGCTCCACGTTGGTCTCGAAAACTTCTTGAAGCAAGGATTTAAATTCTTCAGACTCTTGCCATCGCTTCATCCACTTGAAAAGATGCGGAAAATGCCCCGAAAGTATCGGCGGGCCGTTGGCTGAAAGGCTTTTTACACAGCGATTAACGTAAACTGCAGCGGCTTGATTCAAAAAGTCTAGTTTTCGCTCTTGCGCTCGATCAGCTTCGATGGTATCTGGACCTGGTAAAAACATCAAAGAGGTCATATGGTCAGCATCCAAATCCCAATTCATGGTATAGCTCATATTGCGCTCCCTAGTGCCATCTGGCGCATTACCATTGGAAATCCCTGTAGCACGAAGTTTTGCAGCTTTCATTTGAATGACAACCTCCATGTCGAGATCCGAGTTCTTCTGGAATGCAGAGATGTCTGCGGATGGATACCTTGATCCAACCCCTGAGGTAGTCGTCGCCAGTGTTAGAGAGGCGCCTGGATTGCTTGCTAGACGAGAAGATATCTTCAGCTCATTAATTCCAACAATCATGAAGACGGTATCCTGCGCATGGCGATTGAAGATTGCTACAGCTTGATGCATCAAAGCGTCGAGTGTTGCAGGATGGATCACATGAGGTTGCTGAAATGGAGTTGGCATGCTCTGAGACATATCGGGAATGTTCAGAACTCCCAGAGCATGTGTGCTACTAAGAGTAAGTTCCTTAATGCAGGAGAAATTCGGTCCATAACTGTTCCCCCTCGATTTTAAATCGCGGTAAAGCTTCACAGTATCTATTTCATCGTCGCAGAGTGATTCCAGTTCATTAAGACGACTAATTTCAGATAAAGAATTAAGATTCTTTTCTTTTGTAGTTTCCACTTCGTCTGTGTCAGACGACATCTCCGCCATGATGAATCCATGGCAGTGTTCAACGCTAGCGCCTTCAGCCGAGACAGAAAATACCTTGAATTCCTCCCACTTAGACTTTGAATTGTCCTGTTGATTCCTACCGGTCACAAGGCTCAATTGTATTTCGACAGTATTTGGCGAGTCGGGTATCACTAGAGGCGCCGGAATCTGGATGTTCTTGAAATTATAGCTTGAGATACTGAGAGGGTCATGTGTCTCAGAAACCAATTGACGCATCGCTTCAATGGCCATCGATATGTAACCCGAGCCTGGGAATATCATGAAACCATCAATGACATGTTCTCCCAACCACGGTAAACTATCCACACCGATCACATGCCGCCATATCGGGTTCACACCTGTACTGCTTGCAAGCCGTGAACCGAGAAGGTCATGGTATGGATGTTTTCGAAATCGATGCGCTTTACTTAATCGTGATTCGCGCCAGTATCTACTTGAGTGGTCCCACGAATAAGTCGGCAAATCAATCAGTACCTTTTGCCGTCGATTAGGCTCGAAGAGGAAATTCACAGCTTGTAAATCTACTGTACATCCTTCCTCAAAAAGCTTACCGGCAGCCTCTAAAACAGTGAAACGTGCATCTTGGTTCCTAGTCAGAATAGACGTACTGAAGTATCCCGAGGACAAATTTAAAGAAGCCATTGTCTGCCTGATAGGTCCAGATAGAGCATTATGAGGTCCTACTTCGATGAATGCAAGTTTACTTTGAGGAGAAGCTAATGACATCTTGCGGCATAATTCTTCTAGTCCATTCTGAAAGCGAACTGGGGAAACAAGATTGTTGACCCAGTAATCAGCACCGAATCCAGAAGTCATCTCTGTCCCGGTAACAGATGAGATAAACCGTACAGCTGACGATGTAGTGTCATATTCCAGTCCCTCCAGACTGTGTAGATATTGATCTGCTACTGATTTGACATGATGCGAGTGGTAGGCCGTATCAACGGCCAATCTTCTTGCAAAAATCGATTCTGCATCTAGAATTTTGTTCAGTTCGAGTATTGCAAGTTCGTCACCTGAAACGGTGGAGCTTTCCGGGCTGTTGGAACACGCAATTACGACTTTTCCGGAAGTGACTTGTGAGATGTATTGAGAAACAGACTTTTCGCCCAGTCCTACAGCCATCATTGCCCCCTTCAAAGATCCACTAACTCTAAGAAGTCCGCGGTAATACGCGACTTTCAAAGCTGAATGTTGACTTAACGACCCTGCTGCATAAGCCGCTGCTATCTCGCCACTGGAATGACCAATAACAGCATCGGGTGATAGCTTTATAGAGGAAAGGAGATCTACAAGAGCGATTTGCAGTGCTGTTGTAGTTGGCTGAGCAATCTCGCTCTTATTTACTCTTGAAGTTGAGGCTTCCTTTGAAAGTTCCTCCATTAAACTCCAGGAAGCTCCAAATTCTTTCAAGATTCTGTCAGAAGCTTGGAGGGATCTCAGATAGGGGGTACTTCGGCCCATAAGCTCACGGCCCATTGCAAACCATTGCGCTCCTTGACCGGTGAACACAAAGGCATTCTGACGCTGGTTTCCAGATTTCGTTGTTTTCGGATTACTTGAAGTCAAGCGTGCCGTGATATCTTTGAACGACGTGCCTACAAGACTGTATCTCCACCGGAAAAGAGACCGACGGGTTGACAAGGTGTATGCCAGGTTTCGGAAGGTATCATCTCCAAGATTAGAGCTCTGAGAAACCCATTGCCACAAATTATCTATGTTCTTGATTAATGATTCTTCTGATTTTGCTGTCAGAACAAGGACCTGGGGATAGGTGCGTGCGTGATCTGGCTGTTGCAAAACGCCACTTTTCGGATTTTCTATTGGCTCCGCAACACTGTTTGTGATACAGCGCTCTTTTTGGCTGTTTGGTGTAATATCGCTCGGTTCTTCATTTGTGTATTCATGGTCATGGCCGTTTATCAAAACAAAATCGTCGGAATTCGTTTTAGTATGACCACTCATCCGGCCTTGCTCACCGCTATGGCAGTCATTCAAAACCTGATAATGGTTGAGCCTCCGACGCTCAAAAACTTCGTTCTCATAAGTAGACAATGAATCCAGAATAAGGTGACCATTAGTTCCTCCGTAGCCATAATTGTTGACCGAGATACGACGTAAAGTAGTTTCATCCCATGAATCGAGTTTGGTTGGTATCTATCAGTATCAGCCCGACTTCTCAAATAAGGATCAATATTTGAGGTCTTGGAATGAATGCTCACAGCAATATCGCTTCCCCGAAGGTTCTCTTTCAAAGTCACCAAATTCACATTTGGCGGTATTGCATCATTCTCCAGCATCAAAACAGCTTTTATCAGACTAGCAATGCCGCTTGCACTTTCCAGGTGCCCAATATTTGGTTTGACAGATCCCACGTTTATAGGAGATCCCTCATCACCACTGAAAGCTGCGCGAATGGCAGCGATTTCAGCTCCTAGGTAAGAATTAGCATATCAACTAAGAATATTGTTAAATTTGTAACAAATGAACATTGCTCACCATCTCCAACGATAGTCCCAGTGCCATGGGCTTCGATATATCTTGTGTATTTGGGATCGAGGTTTGCCTGCCGGTAGACGGATTGGATGAGATTCAACTGTGCTTCTCGGCTTGGGACTGTGATACCCGGTGTTTTTCCATCCTGCCCGATTCCAGAGTTCCGAATTATTCCCCGGACATTGTCACCATCCCGAATAGCGTCGTCTAGCTTTTTGAGGACTACCATAGCAGCTCCCTCACCACGACCATAGCCTGCGCCTCGGCTATCGAACGAGTAGCATTTTCCATCTTGGTTTAGTACACTTAGACTGTGTCAGTTGAACTTATCTGTCAAGTTTTGTGGTAGAAAAAATTAGGGGTATCAAAGTGGTAGACGAACCCAATCATGCTCATGGGTATCATAAGATCGGGAGTTATGATCAAACTCACGCCACCTGCAACTGCTATTTTGGTTTCTCCGGTTCTGAGTGACTGACAAGCCTGATGGATGGCGACAATACTTCCAGAACAACCTGTGTCCAAGGTGATGGATGGGCCCCGAAGGTCTAGCAGGTAAGAAATTTGATTGGAGGCCATGGCAGAACCCGTTCCTGTTAAATGATATTTTGAGACTGTGTCGAGGTCTCTACATTGAATACCTGCATAATCATTTCCAAAAGTAGCGACGTACACGGCGGTATCAGAACCACGAAGATCCTCTAGGGACAGACCAGCATTTTCTAATGCTTCATATGTGACTTCTAGTTGGAGGCGATATTGAGGATCTATTGCTTCACATTCTTGAGGGGAAATACCGAAGAACTTTCCATCAAAAGTGGCGATATCTGAATCAAGAAAGTGACCACCACGATGATTGTGTGTTCCCCCATTTTCGGGGTCGGGATGATGAAATGATTTCCAGTTAAATCTATCTTCTGGTACCTCAGACCATGTTCCTCGGCCTTCAGAGAGAATTTCCCAAAGCTTTTCTGGACTGCTGGCACCGCCCGGAAATCGACAGCCTATTCCGACGATGGCTATTGGTGCTGGAATACTGGCCATCTCAAAGCTGGGAATAGTACTCAAAGTAGAATAAAAGGATAGGCTGCAGCTGGAAACTTTCAAAAGTAGTATCAATACAATATACTGCTCGTACCAAGATTTCAAAACCAACACATGAAGTAGCAGTATATAAATGAAAAACGAGCCAGCAATAAATGACGGTTATAACATATAGTATATAGAACCTCAACCTCTCACTTCAAGCGATCCTCCTGGCATAGCAAATGCAAGTGCATGTCCAAAAGTTTATTCTACTGCCTCTATCGGCTGGGATTACGTTTGAAGATAAAAAGCTCGTTGACGGCAATGCCAAGCTAGGATAGAAAGGTAGTCATTTGACATGGACCTTTAATGGTCCTGTGTCTGTACAGCTATTGTACCAATTTGCCCAGGATGATTCAACAGATGAATAAATCCACTCACCATGATACCTCGTGGTCCACGAGGTATCCAAATTCATACGATTGAAGATTGATGTCGCCAACCATGGGAATCTGGTGGGGAATGGAGATGGAGAAGTATTTGTGGACCAGTCTCCAACCTATGAAGATAAGACTTACAAGATATGACCCCACTTGGGCTCGGAGACAATTAAGAGGCAACAAACAAGATAAATTTGCAGAAGTCTTCCACTAAGCAAGGACACAGACACGACCCTGACCTGGGATCTAGGCGTGAATGATTGATTCGACCTGCCTACCATCAGCAAAATAAATGCTCGGCGTTTCTACCCGCAATCGCTTGAACCTGCCTGGGTTGGTTGCGATATTGGGGATCGTGGAACTACTTCACAGGGGAAGGGTCCGAGGGATTAAAGTTCACAGATCTTATGCAAAGCTTGCATTTTAGATCGCTAGTCGGCTATGCTAGTAGAGTCGTTATGCTATCAATCACTGACGGGCTCCAATATACCTGTCAATCGGATGATATATTTCATGATGGTCCACAGGTAATTTTGTTGAGGGTTACAAGTGCGGCGTAGGTGAATCCAATTATCTATACCTATATGGGGAGTCTTGGCCGAGGTATCCCGTACATATACTTTCATATATATTAAATATATTAGTCGAACCCGGACATTGTGAAGCTGCCACCTTTCGAGACAGCTTGCGATGCTTGTGATAGAGGTCTTGGACGCGTTGGTTCTCTTTTGTAGAATCTCGTTCGATTCGTTTGAATGTTGGATTAACCTTAAACTTATGTAATCAATCCACTTACCAGTCTAGACGGATTGGGTATAAAACTCAATCGGCTTGTGCTTTTCCTGATATCCGATCGATTAGACTCTATATTCATGATATGAAGTGGATTATACTCCTTGTCTTATCAAAGTACCATCACACCGGCGCCTCATACTTGTATACAGCAAATGCTTCTATTCCATTAACAACAAGCATTATTGATGATTTTTGTGTTGAAAAGTGGAACCAGAGCATGCATGGTACGGAGCAGATCGCCCAAGAGGTTTTTTGTTGTCCGGAGTACACAAAGTCAGCCAAATACGGAAGGTGTAAATTGACTTTAAGGTCTGGACTGATACTTATCTAGCTGGACATCGCCAAAGCCCACAATATGCAGCTAGTCATCTAACGTATCGTGTGTTCATGTGCGTACTGTTCGAAGTGCCCATGCTTCACATGTATCCCAAGAACCAGATTTTCTGTTATTTTCCCATGTTCATATCAATTCCGCTCGCGTTTGGAAGGCTTTCCCTCTAGATCATTTCATCTGCTGTCTTGCAAGTGAGCGAGGAGAAATTCCCAGTAGTCGCAGGAATCTCTACAAACATGGAAGGAAGAGGTAAGAGTTTAGATTATTCGAAGTCATTTGGTGATGGCGGAGGCGATTTAGTCCGCACGACGTCTATCGTCGAAGTTGACGAAATTTCCAACGAACAACCTCACCTTACAAGTGCAAGACTGAGCTCGGAACTTTCCAAAATTAGCCCTGAGGGAGTTCAAGATGTTGAAGCTGTCGTTGTACCCAGCGAAGGGAAGCGCCCTGAAGGCGCGAAATTAACGATACTCACGGTAGCATTGATGCTATCTGTTTTTGTGATGTCGCTGGATAAAAGCATTATCGGTGAGTGTAACATTTGTGTTGGAGTCCGCGAGAGATGATTTCCATAGACTAATAGTTTTACAAGCAACTGCAATTCCTAAAATAAGCACGGAATTCAAAAGTATTGATGATATAGGATGATACACAAGCGCATATTTGCTTCCACTTATGGCTATTCAGCCAACATTTGGCAAAATATACACGTATTTCGATATGAAAATTGTGTTTCTTTGCGCCTTGGTAGGATTTGAAGCTGGGTCTATTATTTGTGCCACTGCTCGATCTTCACCAATATTCATTCTCGGTCGAGCGGTGGCTGGCTCTAGTGCTGCGGCAATTCAGGGTGGAGGCATGATTATTATTGCATTGTCAATACCTCTGCACAAAGTTCCGCTATTCTTGGGAACGCTGACCAGTATGACTGCAGTTGCTGGTTTGACAGGACCTCCATTAGGGGGACTCTTCACAGACACGCAACGACTAAGCTGGAGGTTTTATTTTTGGATCAATCTTCGTAAGTATGAAGTTCTGGGGCTTTTTCAATCACGAATTAATGCGATTTCAGCGTTTGGTGGAATAGCGGCACTGATATTTCTCTGGGGCTTTAGAGCTCCTGTACAAAAGCCATCAACACTTTCCTTCAAAGAAAAACTTACTCAGCTTGATATCATAGGCACAGTTTTATTTGTGTCAAGTATGATATCTCTGTTTTTGGCTCTCCAATGGGGAGGGACTAAGTATTTATGGTCGAACTCTAAAGCGTGGGGTTTGATATTGAGCTTTGGACTTCTCTTGACAGCTTTCATCATTCTACAATTACACCTTGGTGATAGGTAAGTGAAGAATATTAAATCATACAAATCATATCACAACCAACATCTCGTTAGGGCTACTATACCTGTTCGGACATTTCGTAATCGTAGTCTTACACTTAGCCTTCTCGCCTCGGCCCTCCTATATCTCGGCACTACCGTGCACACGTTTTACCTTCCTTTCTATTTCCAATCTGCCAAAGGGCCATCAGCTGCTGGGTCAGGTCTTCAAATGTTACCATACACAGTCACACTTTCAGTTTCTCAGTTAGTAGTTGGAAGCGCTGTTGCTTCAATAGGTCTTTACCTACCATTCATGTGGAGTGGCGCAGTAATATTGACCATCGGCGCTGGTCTGCTTACCTCCCTCAATTTAAACACAGACCTCGCCCATCCAATAGGCTACCAAATTCTTGCAGGCTATGGATTTGGCTCGAGCATGCAGCTTTGTGCCACAGCTGTTAGAGCATCTGTTCTTGATAAAGAAGATGTACCAATATCTAGCGCGTTAACTATATTCGCACGCTTCTTCGGTGGCTCACTTGCAGCCGCACTTGCCCAGAATATATTCAGAGTGGAACTTATACACAGCTTGCAAGATTCCGTCGCTGCTTTCGATACTAATGCTATTGTTGCAGCTGGAGCAATTGATGGGGTCTACATGGTCCCTGAAGCTCTAAGAGGTGTCGTCCGAGAAGCTTACAATATTACTGTGTCAAAAACGTTTCTTATAGCGGTAGCAAGTGGTGGCTTAGCATTTATCTGTACACTCGGTATTGAGTGGAAGAATATCAAAAAGCCAGCGAAGCTCCTAACACCGGAAAGAGAAAGATCCTATAAGATATGTGAGGGAACAGAAGTGATGGAAAAGAATGTGTAGTCAAATTTACCTTTGAAAAAGCTCAACGACACGGTCGCCAATCACAGATGCTGCCTTTTAGATATGGATGCTGTTCGATATCAGAGGCGTTTTGAATCCTTAGATATCTTTCAATGTCCTTTGTCCAACGGATTATGATGTCTTGGTCTGAGACAGGATGAAAGATCAAACTATCTTCTAAGCTCCAAATAGAATCATTGTTTCAGATAAAAAAGGGTAACAGATTTACGGGGAATACAGCTCTGTCTACCAGCAATTCCCGAAAAAAGTATTTACTCTATTCACATATCACACTAGCTATGCTTATCGTAGTTACCCGCTAGTTGTGGATGCCAAGTGCTCAAGTTTAACGCGTCCAGCATATTTGCAGAACCCACCCTTTATCTTGCAGATCCGCGACTTGCCATGCTGTTATCATGAGGGTATACGCCTCGGCGATCTTTTGTGGCTAGCCAAATAAAAACTACCTATGGAGACATTAGAAGCAGGAGCGATTCTATTTTAGCGTCGGCTTTTCCGATCCGGCCCGGCGCGTTAACATTCCGTTATCAAATTAGATTGAGCAAAGATAGATTGTCTTGATTGCTCAAAGATTGTATTTGTATTGTGCCAGTCTAAGTGTCCAAAGTAAGATTTGAGGGAGTTTCGACCATTACCCCCTGCAAGCTTTTTAACAAGGGTATTTATGCTACGTCGTGGAGGTACATATTGGACAAGGGTCTTCCTTTTGGCCCCGAATCAGAATGTAATTTCATCATGTACTTCTATGTATGTGTGACCTTCATGCTCTGCTCCCATAGGCAAATCCCAATCATCGCTTCTCTCATCCTGCCTATTTAGCCGCAATCTTTTGACGGAATGTTCGTCCCAGTCAAACCTTTGAACATTGCTCTCAATATAGTCCTTTGCGCATCCTCTGTTTTCAGTGCATCTATCGCTTCGCCTCGATACGCTTCACCTCAATTTTGCAATATGTCGTCTTCACATTGTGCTGGAACTACCAGATTCCCCCCTCTCACACCCGGAAATGATAATCTGGATGCGGCTCAACTTGTTCAATACAACTACCTTGCGAATACCACAAAAGCGGTCTATGGTACTACCATTGTCACGGCAGATCCTGATGGCTCACTTCAAGGACCCTTCAACATGTTACTGTAAGTAAAATCCTTAGTTGCCCGAGAAAAAGCATAAATTAATCTTGAAACCAGCTATACACCAACAGTTGCACAGCCGTGGGTAAACCTACAATTGGCCGTAGCCGGTTTATTAGTCCCAAGTGAAGCTGAAAGCGCCGTCCTCGGTGTCCTATCCGTCACCAAAGTGAAATATGGAATCTATGCACATACTATTCTAGCCGAAAAAGCAGGCTTGACTGCTGCACAAGTCAAGTCTATGCTCGGGGGCCATTGTCCTTCAAGCGTGACAGCACGTCAGAAAGCTGTTTATGAAATCGCTGTGAAGCTGGCTAAGACGAGAGGACCCTTGGACGCAGCGTCTTTTAAAGCGGCTGAAGCTGTACTTGGACAGGATGGCATTCTTGGAGCTATTCAGCAATCTGCTGCGTTTATGTATGCTTCGATGATGTTGAATGCTGGGGATGTTTGTTTACCATCGAGTGTTGGATGTTGATTGAAAGGAGATAATGGTTGAGCTACTAAAACGAGAATTGCTTGCCGAAAGGTGTATAGAGCAATCATGTAAGTAATATGTAAAGAAGTAATATATCTCCTAGAAGCTACATTAAGCTACAATAAGGAGCCCTTGAAGATTCGATCCTTAATGGATTAAGAGATCAAACCAGTTGGTTTACCGATATTTTGTCTCGTCGAACCTTAAGATACCACTATTGCTATTGTTAAACAAAAATCCAATCTTTGAGCTTTAGATGTTTAATCTTTATTAAAGTAATGGAAGTATGATTCTGAACACGTGAGAATTTAGGAATGATGATTATTTGATATTGAGCGGGACATAATTGTGGATTCGCAATAAAGGTGTCAAACAAGAAATCGTTTTCGTAAATGAGCAGTGTGTCACGTAGACATCTATCATCCGAAAGTTGAGAGTCAAATTATTAATGAACCATAAGAAATCCTGGACGTCGCAACTATCTGGATATCTGGAGACAAAATGGACAGCAAATCGCATTGCTAAAAATGATGTCTCACATTATTTCTGAAGAAATTTCCTTTAATATCATTCGGAAGTCCTTCTTTTGCGTAGATATCTATCAATACATCGATTTACCTAGATACAGTATCGATTATAACATCTCTCTGCACCCGGATTTCCCTGCTAGAATTCTGATTTTCCGAATCCTCTCTATGACCATTCTCCATCGCTTGGACGTATATTGAGTTATTGTTCTTCGAAATTCTTTGAGAAATCAACTCTTCATCACTAAGCTCCTCGAAACCATTCAAAGTGCTCTTAACATTGAGCCTCGAGGGAAGCTCCATTCCGCTACTTTCTTTTTTGGAGCCCCAAGTGTTTTGTGTACTACCTCTGGTGGTGAGGCCGGCTCTTTCTTTAAATGTGCGGAATAGATTCCTATATGTAGGAAGACAGGCGGCAATCAGGTATACACCCGGCTCCGCGATGGTGATTTCACCGAGCCTGACAGCTGCCCAAGTGACGTCCGCTTGACCGTCAATGTTCCAAAAGAACACGAGGCGAATAATTGCTGTGATAACCCCACTAGAAGAGATAATGAGTATAGAATTGTTATAATAGTAATGAGGTACTTACATGCTACCAGTAATGAATGTGAACAAAAGGCCAACTTTATCCTTTTGCGATAATTTAAGCCTCCAGATACAAGGCAGCGGTAAAACCAGCATTGCCAGATCGGTGATCAAATTAGGAAGACTTCCATAACGCCAAAATGCCCCAGTATCGAAGCAATGTCCACCTGGATGCCCGGACTTATTCCAGAGATATGCCAGTGGAGCGCATTGCAGTAGGGAGCAAAGTATCAATGCCAAAAATGAAGCTGATACAATTCCCATCGTAATGTAAGCTGCAATACGCTCGCGCTTTCCGACAAATATGCGTAGATATAATCCAAGCATTGAAAGCTTGGGAAATGTGACCGAAGCCGAATATAGAATGACCATTACGATCTGCAGTTTTGCGAAAGTCACTAGAGCGAGAGGGTGGTTTGTTTCCAACCAAATCGCATGATATCCAATACCACCACGATGGACCATCACTGTTGAAAAGGGCCGTCAGCCAAAGACAGATCAGGCAAGAATTTCATGATTGCGTCGGACTTACATAAACCAGTGACTCCTTGCCCAAGGTAACAAACAATCGCTGGTATTATCAAAATATCATCAATGCCCGCCCTCGAGCCACTGACGTATCGCGCAAAAATTCGAAGAGATACGAAGATTATGCTTAAAACCATGAAAGCGATGACCGTACTTTGCATTTGATATCCAATATACTGAGGCACGAGGCCCGGCTCGACCCCCGGAATCGACATCGTGAAGCCTAGGACCTTATTGCTTTTTATCAACGGGTGGAGTCCAGTGTTGGGAAGATGCAGGTTCAGTAGACCCACAAAATGAATTGAAAAGAATTGGACAACGTTGTGATTGAGCAATCCGCGATATCTTGTAGCTTTGAGGTATGTCTACCATGCCATCGGTAAGTAAAGTAACTCTTCAAGACTAAGAGATCAAGGTTCTTGCCTAGTCTACTGACTGCAAAGATCCTCTCGACTAGATACGAAACATTGGGATGCCTAGGTGATAACTAGAAATTGTATGAAATGTCACGTACAGGCTTTGAGGTTGACACCGCTAAGCTTAACCAAGCATAATTAAAGTGTGATATTGGAATCTAATTTCGAAGCCCTCGACAAGGTTGCTGTATCACTCTCGACGCCGTAGACTTGCTTCGTTGCAACTACGCATACAGTATAAATCCGAGGAGAAAGCTCTTGCATGGACATTCTCGAGTCTCGTATCACACGATGAATTAGATGAGGCACAGAAAGCCATCCGATGACAGGGAATGTCAGGAGAAAATCGCCCTGCTGCATATGCTGCGCGAAAAGATGCATGATTACGCCCGCCAGGAGTAGCGTACTCAGTAAGGTCCAGGAGGCCCTAGACCATCTTTAATCTATCACGGAAAGCGTTCCCTAGGTATCAGCGATTGGCGGGTGGGATCACCAGCTTGTTGATCCTTCGAGCCTCCGGTACCACCGTAAAACCAAAACGCCGGCACATTTCCATTTCCTGTATTAGATTTTCCAATTTTACTCGGAAAATATCAAAAGAATACATACTAGGTAGTCATACCGGGCATCCAGGGTATTCACAAATGGAGGCGCACTTGTAGCACATTTCCTAAGAAGTACAACATTACTTAGTACAACTATGATTGAAATCAAAATTCATCTCACACACTATGATCATCACCCCACTTTTGGTATTACTACACCATACCCGGGGAAGGAAGAAGAGGGGCGGAAAACCTGGAATGGAAACGGGGTAAGTGGGTCTCTCTCTTGACATGCAATCCTACAGCGGTTGCCTTTCTGCGAACAGGAAGGACACGGCGCAGTGATGCGGGCAACGTTTTATTGGCAAATTTTCATGCCTAGAGCCGGAGATAGATAAAAAACGGAAAGTAAAGCGCTGGAGAGTTATTTCATCCATTTTTTGAATAAGAACCATCCATCATTTTATAAAACACGATGTAATCCGTAAAGCACCAACTGGTGTTTCTGTACCTATCAGGATGCTGCAGCACGCTGTTGCCCACAAGACGAAACTGGTTCCACGGAATACCAGCCGAGCCAGTTTCGAATTTTCCCCAAGCTTTAGCACGGAACAATATAAGCATAAATATAGAGTTCCGAAGAATAGGTGTACCGATAGGTGTCTCTTTTCAAGGACACACTGAAGGTTGAAATTGGCAATAAACAAGCTGTTGATATCCCTGCCCTGTCTGCAAGGAGAAGGTCTGGACTATCATGTACGCCTTCAAGCTTAATTTGACGCATGCATATCTTGCCACACTTCCTAGAGCATGGACAAGGGGATAAAAACCTAGAGCATGCATTTCGGGGCGTCATACTAGATTTGTATAGCGGTACCGTGTTGCGGTACATGACAGGATTGCTCTTGGGATTCACCTCCGAAGACACAGCAATAAAATTAGGTGGTGCAAAGTTCAGGATCGCATGATAATGATTGGATAAGATGAAGTATGGTAAAGAACCTATACCATAAAATATGGTGATTGAAACCAACCAAGCCACTATATCCGAAGAAAGGGAGCGATGATGAGTAAGCAACCATATTTGTGGCTAATAGATTTGTGGCTGAACAGGCTCTTGTAAGCAAGTCAATCATACCCAATTTAGGCAATGAATCATCAAAAACTCCCATCTAATTTGTACAACAGACATTGATGTATAATGTGAAGGAAATCCAAAGTATTTAAGTGTCCAGAAAGGGAATATCTCGTTGTTCGCAGATGGGACATACTAGTTTCGGACATTCAGAGCCGTAGTTACGTTGCAGAGGAAAGGACATCGGTCGATGGAACAATCAAGCAAAGTCATGAAGTCGAATTCAACTGTAGGATGAATGTGATCTGGGATTCAAGACATACCAAAATCTAAACTCCAGCAAGAAAAATCTACCTCAATGCTCTTCTGGAATAGCCTCAAGGCTGTTTAGGTCTTTCATATGTATCTGTAAAGGCGGTTTTCCCGTGTAAGGCCAACTCAATTGAAGTACCTACAACTGCACTTTGTCGAACGTTCAACTTCCTCTATCCCAACCTCCATTTCAACCTCTAAACCTCTAATCGACTACTATTATCTGTACGTCTCCCTTGAAGCGAAGACTAAACGCTCATGGGATATGGCTTCACCTGGTCTATTTGACCCGTTCAACAGGTTAAGCGAATCGATTATACACACAAAGCTCAATACGCTTCACACGTCCCCCTCCAGCCTCGCTAATAGTGAGCAGACTGGTTGGAGGACAATTCCTCGAAGCCAATCCTCGATGATGATCAAGTGGTCTTTGAAGTGCTTTATGGAATCTTTGTTCTGGCATTATTTCTAGACTTTTATTGTTCCTGGATGATATAAGCAGAGTGTTGAATAAGATCTCAGCCGAGAGGCGCTTGGTACTAATGTTAGTGTAAAGTAATGTTGATGATGGTTGTAGGCGTGCTATGTGAAATGGGGTTATGTGGTGTGTGGTGCGAATATGTGTATGTGATGATGGTGTGGTTGTTTGGCGAAATACTGTCCTCGGGTTTGTATGCTACGATATCTGGTGAGTAATCACTCGAAGCAACTGAGAAGAATGATGGAAAACAGAGCAAAAGAGCCCGAGGAGCTGTAATGACAGTACTCTGGCTGTAGATGAGGGTAATTGTATAATCATTGTTCTACCTTCAGTAATTGCTAGACGTTACATGCTTAGCGTCTAAAAATGCCTCGATTGTGATGGGTAAGGTCTTATGTTGCTGTACTTAAGGGATAAGGAGAACAGATACCACTCCATACTATCGAGGCTCGTTAGTCGTTGTGGGAAACAGTAAGCCTTAGATTAAAAGCCGATCAATGTATCACCTTCGCTGGCACTACCATTGTTTTCATTGGTCTTGTTTCTGCAATCACAAGTGCAGCTCTTTATTATTTCAAGTTCATATTCTTTTGTTTTTGTTTTTGTTTTGAAAGTTGGAGGGCGGTCAAGTCACTCGAGACGAAAGATTCACTTTACCAATCCTCGCTTTTATACCGACGACAATGACAAAAACAATACCACAACAAAACTCAAATCGCCGAAGACAGACTCTACAAACACCTCAAAATATTTCAAAAATTCAAAAGGAAGTTCACTGACAAGCTCAGCTACATCTTCCGCAGGTGTGCAATCCTTCCCCGATGAAAGGTTGGAGAGCCCGCTCGCATTTTGACATTGGAGGCACTACTGCAGTGCGCCACTTAACTCACCCGGCTAAGTGATCTTTCCCTAGATGTTGTTAGTGATGTGGTTGGGAAAATTTAGAATTATATTGTATCGGCACTTGTTGATTGGCAATGAATTTGGATGGATGGGTGCAGAGCTCTGCAGATTATTGGTTGGCACAGATTCTGATTTGGTCTGCATCATGGAGAACGCGCCCAATAAATAGAACTCGAAAAGCGCAGCGAAAAACACTGGTAGAGTTCACCCTTATCATGATGTCTTCAGAAAGCTGATCTTTCATAGTTATTCATGCATATGTGCTTTAAGGGAGTCTTGAAAATTTTGTATGAACTTATGGTAACAGGAACTCGGGATTTTTCTTAGGACTCCATCTTCAAGGTCTAGACTTATTTGAGTATATTTAGTAGTTTGATGTAAGTTCCTCGGGCATATACACTGTAGTTGGTGAGATCTTGCATGTAGCTCTATACAGAATACGGTTGAGCTTCCACCATCGGCACAGACTTTCGCCTGTTATAATAATCTTCTATTTTGTTTTCTGTTATTGTCTGATTCACATTTATAATATGTTGGGCGGCAGGTATCAGAAGTAGCTTTTCTGCGAAAGAGTAGGACGCTTATTTCAGATGACCAACGACCATGACTGTCAGGAAGCAGCTTTACACCATCTATGCATCTGTTACGTTGAGTTCGACTGTTTGATAATGCCTTTGGACTGACTGTTGACTAAATCTGCACCAAATCGTCCGCAAAAGGGGTCAAACTTTCTTCGGCAAGCGCCTCGCCTGCTCTTCTTGGACCAACACTCAAACATCATATTGTTTGACAGAAGCTTCGTTCTTCCACCTTTGAATATATTAAATTCCTGTGCAAGGTCACACTTGCTCTCTATTTTTTGCTTCCGATTGTGGTAAGATCTACAAGAAAGGGTTGTTCTTTCATGGCCAACATCATGATCTTCCCAGAGGAATTTTGTAAAGTCCTGCCTTTTTACCTGCTTTGTGAGAATGGCAGGAGAACTTTTTGCAACATTAAATTGCAGTGAAGAACCCCAGATTACTTAAACATAGAATAAAGCCCTTGGTGAATTACAGGGTGCAAGACTCAACGCGTCAATAACTATTCCCGACTTACATTATAGCTGTAATTCATAAACTTCTCCACTGATACACCTTTACATTAATGTTCAATTCCACAGTTCATCTCATTTATCTTGGGGAAGATGTTGCATGCCCAAAGTTATAAGACCCTAGGGATGAGATATGCGCACCATTCGCATTTAAGTTTGTTCACAACACTTCAATAGTGAAAGATTCCTCCCAAAGAAGCTCATTATGACGAGCCCGACGATTATTTATTTCTCACAAAAGTCACAAGGGAAAGAATAGTAAAAGAGAAATGGAAAAATGATCAAATAATGAGAGTCCAAGACCGAAATACAGTTTGTTTTCCCTCCCTCGATATCTCGCCGTCCCCGCCGAATACCATCTGGAAAACTCAATGAAACGGAGATTCTGGGAGTGTTGTACTCCGAAAATCTCAAAGTATCTGCCAAAGCTACATTTTTTCAAATATATACAAGCATAAAAATGGAAAGATCAGAGTGTCATCATCATGAAAAATGTGTCAATTTTTGTTTGAAAAAGGCAGACCGAGCGAATATTTTCAAGCATGCTCATGAAACTATGAGCTTGAAAGTGGAAACCAAAATTACAGGCCCGGATTGGAGAATACTAGATCCCACGGAAGGACGGCTCTATGATTCTAATAGGAGATATCACATATTGTGTTGTCCGGAAAGTGGCAGGCCAACGTTCGATAAGTGTGGGACATTTACCTGGGCTTTGGATCTTAGGCTGAACCCAAAGAGGGCTGTTTCAGCACCTGAAAGCGTACAGAAGAAGCTGGGGAAGGAGAAAAATTCCGAGAAGAAACAAACTAGTGGATCTGGATCTATTAGTATTCTAAGGCCTGTTGGAGGGACTCTTAGGGCTCAAACAATCAAATGATGTGTAGGCTACCAGTCGGCTTGAACAATCGAACCAACACTTGGAACTTAGAAGAGGATGTTACGGAAGTCCTAGATTTTCTTGAGTGGGCTACTCTAGACGATTCCAAACAAGAGACCAAAAGTATGATGCGGTAGAACGCTTCAAGAAGGACGTGAAGAGCTTTCGACCTCAAATGGAGGACAAAATCCATTAGATGTCTCGTGTCCAATGATGTGAGCTTCTCGCGAGTACTATTATCGCTCTTGACAAGAAATTACCAGAAGTAGAGGTTGGAAATAACATCCATACGTTAGTACGATGAGCTAGGATCGCAGAAGTACACCCTGACGATGCCATCGCTGAATATAGCAAGAGAAAATGCAACAATCGCAAAGCGTTTCAAGAATGGTTGAAGAGTCATGGTAGTTGGAGGTCAACCGAGGTAGAATGGTGCATCAATTAACCGACGAGGAAAATAATGAAAAAAAAAAAAAAAACATAAAAAAGTCATTGTTTGTTGTCACTACCCAAGAGCATTGGATTTGGTAACAGCAGGACTGGAAAATCTTGGGATTCAATTTCTGCGTTTGGATGGCTTTTGTGCAGTCAATTATAACAATGACGCACGACACCGTTTCCAACATCCAGACAGATCATCCCAAGTCTTACTTCTGACGTTTGCCGCGGGTACCGGTGGTATAGCTCTCAATCTCACCGCTGCAAACTTTGTATACGATTGCACTCGAATGCTCAGCCGATCGTGAGGAGCAAATCGAATGCCGTGTATACCATATTACCCAGAAAACAAAAGGTCACAATTTACAGAAGCATCACACAATATTCCATCGCTTTGAGATGCAAATCATTGCAGGAATTGAAGAAGCTAAAGAAATGGGGTCTATTGGATGTTTTGGAACATAGAGTCTCTCATGTATCAAGGGGGATGACGCACGAAAGTTGGTGTAGGGAACAAAAGCTATGCTCAACGGTCAAAAGAGAAATTCTTTTTGAAATACGTATCGTCTAACCTCGTATCATGGGTACATAGTACATATTGAAATTTTGTAGAATAGGTGCTACCTTTTTACTGTCAGTAGTAGCTCTAAAACCTAACTTTAGTTTTATTGGACTAATACCATCTGAAAAAATATGGGATCAGCCAAACCTTCTGTCCAAGCCCAGTATACATGCATGCAAGTTACTGAGTACACGATACATAGTTCTCAAAGTTCCAATTTGAATTAGGAAACCTAAGTTTACTTCTCCGTCTCAACGGATAATCTTCCTGATGAGTTTACTCTGTCCCGTGTGAGGTAAGAGGGTCATATATACCAAGGAGGTCTGAGGTATTTGTGACAGCTTAAAACTTTGGACGACCGTCACATTTTACCGATCTGTCAAACTGTGTGTAATTTGTCAAATAACAAACATGAAAATACACATTAATGTATCAATTGCCGTGGTGCCCCAAGGATAAAGCAGCAAAATTCTTCTTTCATTTATGATTCGGAACCCTAGAAAACCATGAAGAAAGCTCAAACCCATAGTCTAAATTTCAACTGCATTTCTTAAAATTACTCAACATCCCATTTATTGACTTGGGGAGCCAGAAGAGTCTATGACTATCGTATATCTTATTACTGTTCCGCAGACCCACCTATCCTGTATCCTTTTCTCTATCCCAAGAAATGAGGGGTTTTCGGGTGCCTATTATCTCCAACTATTACAAACCAGTCCTTCACACTAACTTCCATACTCCCAATATCCTCTCCGATTACCTAAATCATCCTTCTTGATACACCCCGGAGATACATGATCTTCTACTCCTCCCCAAGGCCAAATAGCCACAAAGCATACTTGATCGTATGCACACTTTCCACATTCAAGCCAAGTGGTCCAATCTAATTCGTCGATCAACCCCTCGATGAGTTCCTTTCCCCTCCTTTCTCCCTTTACACTATTTCCTTCGTCATTCAGTAAATCCCTCACTTTGAACAATGTACTACAGATATTATGCGCCACCTCAAAAATAGCAGCACGAATCAAATGATCCGCCTTGGTTTCTGGTACCACCGGCTCCAAGTAGTGATTTGCACATTTCTCCACCGAAGAAGCAACGTCAGCGTTCTTATAGTCGATGTAGACATCCAACAGCAATTTGATCTCCGACTTCACCGCCTCCACGGACGTCTCGTTCTGAACCATAAATTTCAAACGATCAGAATATCTCGTGACAATCATATCCACCACGTTTTGCCAATTAATCGTCTCTCTTTTCCCATACTCTTCACTCTTAAGTAGTTCCATCACATCAGAGTGGATTCTCCCTAAATCACCCGACTCAGAAGCCGTAATCAGTCTAGGGAGCTCGGAATGAGAAGGATTAGGATTAGTAAGATTCAGTGGATAAAAGAAAGCAGAAATCATAGATGAATAGTCCACTTTTACTCTTCCTCCCATGATACCTTGATATCGATATGCAAGGGCCCTCACATATTCAAATTGAACAACGTCATTTTTTCCAAAATCTGTCTCTTCTCTTTGAGAAGCCGACATAAATTCAAGCCCCTCTTTGAAATTGCAGAGAATAATCTCAAAACCTGCTTCCATGCGAAGAAATCCCTCAACCCCCCATTGCTCGCCAATTTTACAAAGGTCGACTGCTCGGATCCAATCATTATTTGGTTCCTTGGACGTGGGTGTGAGATTGCGAATAATGTAGTCTGTGGAGTCAAGCGTCCCCATGCTTGTTTTACCAGCGGACATTCCATCGATATAGAAAAGTTTGGTGAGAGGTTTGGAGGTACGGTACGTGTGAAGATAGCCATGGCTAACTTCATCCTTGTCTTCAGAATCGTAAATACCCCCACCGTGTTTGGATTTTGGACGGTTATACATTCGTGCATGCGGAGGAGAACCTGGAGAATGTCCACTGGGACCTTTTCCTGGGCCATGACCTCCAGGACCACGTTCTCTCCTTGGATGTGCAAACACTTCGGCGTGTTCGATTTCGAAGGCTAACCATTCCATTCCTTCAACTGGCTCAGTTGTATGTGTTCCATGGTAAAACAGTGTTCCTTTTGGTACAGATGCTGGGAAGAAAGACATCCCATTGTGTTTGAGAGATGAACCCCATTGCCGCATAGACGAATGAATGGTATTGAAAATCTCATGTGAATTTGCGCGAGCATTTTCTATACTGGGGCCGTTGGATGGTTGAAGCAATAGTGGTGATTGATCGGACACAGCGCCGGCACTGATAGATAGGGGAAGTAATAGTGGAGTGAAAATTAGAGACGGTGACAGCATTTTCGCCTTCATCTCGCCTCACAATCCTTCAAGCCAAGAAGGAGAAGAACCAAAATGAACGAAAGACAAAATAGAATAGATAATAGTAAGATTCAGTGTTTAGTAAGTCAAAAACTGAGAGAAAACAACAAGCAACGAACAAATGAGACAAAGTTGCGGATACAAATACGCAGCTTACGACGACGCGTTGTCAAACATAGCTTTTGTCTTATCAATCTGATCAGTCAGGGATGTATTGTGAGATGCAGCCAATGAATGAGTGAACAAAGAGTGGAGTTCTGGAAGCTAAGATCTGTGATTGTGGGGCATGTTCTCTCGGTCCCGAGTTGCCTATGGGCACGACTCATCAGCCTGGTTCAGTCTCTACCGGCTCTGCGGTACAAATGAGTTTGGTCCAGGTTGCTGTGAACTAACAGATGGCCTGCAGATATGAACATGGTTCCGATAAAGGTAGAATGGGACACCCAGAGTAGTTATTCTCTGCTACTGTCATGCCGACCTAAGTTCGCCTTCAGCAGCCAAATAGGAATGATACTACTTGATCGACAATCTCTTCCGAAGAACAGGGCTACAGATTAGGCCGTATGATTCCGTCCCTTCTCTTAGACCGGAAATAGCGTATTGAATTTGCGACTCACAGACCGTGAAGTGGGATTCTGAGATCTCCAGTCCAATGAAATGTCAATATCCAACACAAAACCGGAAGAATGTGCATGACACACGTTGGAGATCTGGTATCAAAAACTAGATATTTCAATAGAGGTTAAGCAATAAGAGGAATAGATGTAATCAGACTTCATTTCATCATCAGTTATACCCCTTTTCCGCCATCGACATGTTATAAATCAATACCCTCCATCTCAGCCCATTGAACAATATATTTCCTCACCTACGCATACGTCTTTAGTCTCCGACGACGTAAGTGGAAGGGGATGTTTAATACTAACCTGACTGTCAGGAGCAAGTTCCAATGCAAGAAAACCATCCGCATCTTTCTTGTCTGTTTCTGCGCCAGCTTTTAGAAGAGCTACTGCGGTATCACCTATATGTGTGTTTTTAGCAAGCCATGAGTTTTTATAATAGCAATCAACCCAGCCTTGGATGGCTTCAAATTTTACAAAACTTAAGAACTGAAGAAAGACGTACCATGACCTTCAGCAACAGCATGATGAAGTGGTGTCTGCCCCGCAACATCCGCAGGATTTAGTGGACTTTTGTTCTTCAACAATAACTCAACTATTGGAGTGGAGCCAATAGCTGCTGCACGATGAATTGCGTATTGTCCACGCTTGTCCTTAACTCTACAGGATGCTGGTGGATTGTGTGAAAGTAGGACTTTGACTACCGGAAGGTTGTTTTTGGAGGTGGCAAAGTGAATTGCCGTCTAGTTGTTGATTAGACGGTAGCTTTTTGGACTATTGGGAAGGGTTTGAAAAGCCATACTTGGTCACTGAAATCTAAGAGATGGTGAGCATGATTTGAACGAAAATTCAATCCAATAAGGATGAAACTCACTCTTGGTATTTACATCCGCTTCTTTCTTCAATAACAGATTCACAATATCATCGCCCTCCTTAAGGCTGACAGCAATCATGAGTGGTGTCCATCCGGATCCGTCCTACACACTGTATCAACAGTGATTCTCGAGATCGCATAGAGCGCAAGATAAAGGGCACAAGAATATACACACCTGTACGTCCGGATCAAAATTCTTCACATTGGAAAGTAGTATGACAATATCCAAATGTCCATATGAAACAGCCCAGTGAATCGGTAATCTTTCATCTTCATCTTTCAAAAAGGCGAGTTTTGGGTTAGCCTACAATTTGTGAGTACTACTCATATTTGCATGGAGTCAAGTATCCATGAAGGGGTATTTTGGTGATCTCGTACATTAAGAAGCGATTCGACAATGGCAACTAGATTCTTGTTAGTAAGAATTTGTTTGCTACTATGTCGTGAATCAGGGTGTAGAGGAATATCGTACTTCTTCCATCACGACAAGCCTGATGAATGGCATATTTATCTTCTGAAGGCTTTTCCATATTGTTTGAATAGATTTGATGAAAATGCGATGAAGATATTACTGGGAAGAAAATTGTTGTATGATTTATTTGATGTCATGTACCTACCTATATATAAATGATGGCGTGGATAGAGGAGCCTGGGATATAATAAAGCAGCGGCAGCAATACGGCTTGTGAGGCTAGTGGCTCGTTGGTGGCCCGTGCATCCAAGGCTCATTCATGTCCATGTTCTCTTGAAGCTTTATCGCGATAAATTTCCAAATCGCAAGTCCTCACCTCACAAGCGCAACTCAACATCAACCACATATATTAACAATATGGCAACCTCAATTGCCTCCTTACCTTCAGAGGACCAAATGAAAACCCTCATAAAACAAAATGTCAAACGAACACGATCCCTTTTCGCAGATACCGAATCAATCCCCGATCCAAAATCTACAGAAACCGCAGATAAATTAGCATTAGTAGGAAGAGTACACGCCGAATACGATCATGTCCGAGAACTACCGCCTGCATTAGCTGCGAAACAAGCTGCTGCAGCTGGAAACAGGAGGAAGAAGACTAAAGTACAAGCTGCGGATGGAGAATCAGCTGCCGACAATAATACGATGAAGATGATCGAGGGAATTCCATCACGGAGTGAGAATTCTGGGGCTGGAAGTAGCACCAGTCTTATAATCAGAGGCAAAGATACGCCACCTAATGCGAACGGTCCCTCAATTTCTACAGCGCAAAGTAATCTACCATATAGCAGTTTGGTGCGCAAACAAAACTTTGTCCAGCCAAAACCAGAATGGCACGCCCCGTGGAAACTTATGCGCGTAATATCTGGACATTTGGGATGGGTACGCGCTCTTGCTGTTGAACCAGAGAATCGTTGGTTTGCATCTGGAGCTGGAGACCGCACAATTAAAATATGGGATTTGGCGACTGGAGGGTTAAAACTTACATTGACGGGACATATTTCGACAGTGAGGGGATTAGCAGTTAGTCCGAGACATCCATACTTGTTTAGTTGTGGGGAGGATAAGATGGTTAAGTGTTGGGATTTGGAGACGAATAAGGTGATACGACATTATCATGGACATTTGAGTGGTGTTTATACTTTGAGTTTACATCCTACCTTGGATGTATTGGTTACTGGAGGTAGAGATGGTGTTGCGAGAGTCTGGGATATGAGGACGAGGAGTAATATTCACGTACTCTCAGGTCATAAGGGCACAGTATCGGATCTGAAGTGTCAAGAAGCAGATCCACAAGTCATCACTTCATCTCTAGATTCCACAGTCCGATTATGGGATTTAGCAGCTGGAAAAAGCATGGGTGTACTTACACATCACAAGAAAGGTGTTCGAGCACTAGCCATCCATCCCAAAGAATTTACATTCGCAAGTGGAAGTGCGGGAAGCATTAAACAATGGAAATGCCCAGAGGGAGCCTTTATGCAAAATTTCGACGGTCAAAATGCCATTATCAACACTCTCAGCGTAAACGAAGACAACGTATTATTTTCAGGAGGAGATAACGGATCCATGTCTTTCTGGGATTGGAAAACTGGCCATAGATATCAAGCACTTGATTCTATTGCTCAACCCGGTTCGCTAGATGCAGAAGCTGGAATTTTCACCTCGTTGTTTGATAAAACGGGTTTGAGATTGATGACCGGTGAGGCGGATAAAACCAGTAAGTTCTCCCTTATGCTTATTAATTCCTTCCTTCTTCCCACTTTGTCCCGTCACCTTATCCGCACCCACATACTAGATACTAACACCACCTCCCTCCAACAGTAAAAGTATGGAAACAAGACGAACTCGCAACTCCCGAATCACACCCCCTCGAATGGAAACCCGAGCTCGGTAGACGAAAATTCTAAAAACGCACGTTTGAAATATAGCACTGGCACCTTGTATGTGTATAATACCTACGAAAAAAATGTAAAAGCATGGAAATGGTGGGATGGGATTGGTCATATCTCGAAGGCGTGTTGGCGTTGATGATTAACTGCGTCGTCGTATTGATTGATATAGATAGTGCATATACCATAGCCATGAATACCATTTTGTGAATTAATTCCACTGAGAAAATATACTGAGGTGTATTATTGGGTTGTTGTTCTATTACTGTGCTGTGATATACTGGCTGGTTGTTCGTGAAGATTATGGTGACATTTATGATGATATTAATGGTAATGGTGTTGGCTATCGATCCATCTATATATATTTTCTATCCCTCTCCTTTATGTATGTATATATCTATATATATTTACATCAACCCTGACACACCATCCAATATCCCACCCATCCGTCCAATTTCCAGCTCCAGCTCCAGCGTCCATCATTCCGCATTCATCATATCATATCATATCATTCATTCATCACATCAATCTCTGGATTATAGTCCAACAATCCGACAGGTAATCCGAGTATCAACCAAACAACCACAACGGTATATTCAAACAAGGATCGAGTGAAGTAACGGAGATATTAAACCACCATTCCTTACAGACCCTATTCCGCACTCGTATTCTACCCCATAAACCCCAACCCCCTAATCTCCGGATCATCCCTAAAAGCAACCTTAACATCCTCCTCCCCAATACTCAACCTAACCTTTCCCATCCTCTCCGCTTTTCGAACCTCTATTCCTATAACGCCCGCCTCCATAAGCTCCATTGCCGCTTCACCCATTCCTTGAACTCTTGCTCCTTTTCCTACTTGTGCCCCTTTCGTTTTTCCCCCGCCACCTCCCTTGTTCTCCGCACCTGCAAGTAGATACCCAACCACACTTCCCCCCGTATCCAACTTTGCCATTCTCCTACACTCATCCACCACTTCACCCACCAAACACTCACCCGTTCCCGCCCTCCTCAATCTGAGCACCAGAGCTGCAAGAAACATTTTTGTAGCCAGTGGACATGCTCTCAAATATTGTTGAAGCGGACTAGTCGTAGCTTCATTAATTGCTTTTTTAACCGTGGCTATGCTAACCACACCTTTCCCCTTCTTCTCTTCACGACCTGGAGTTTTCGAAGGCGTGTTTGGAATAGAAACGGATTCTGATTCTGCGATTTCGACGGCTCGTCGACAGATATCTAAAGCGCGGCGGGCGTCCCCGGAAACAGAGGCGACTTTGCGGGAGGCAAATTGAATCGCGTCCGGATGGATTAGGTGAGAGGGGACGTCAGCTAGACGGGAAGTTATGATGGTTTGGAGTTGCTCATGGGTGTAGCCGGGGAAGGTTATACGAGTTAGACCTAAGGTTGGATATTAATTGCAGTCCCCTGTAGGCAAACGAATTTTATACATACCAAGACGTGAAGAAATCTTATTGGAAAGAGTACGTTCAGGTAAATCCATGGTATTGGCCACGGCGAGCACGATTAGTTTTGAATGCCTCAGACCAGGCCAGTTGAAGAAATTATACATGACACTTTGGTTTTTGGTCACTAGCTGATCCAATTCGTCCATCAACACCACACATGGTTCTCTCCTAGGTGATGGCTTGCTGAATTCCCTTTCTAGTAGATCTAATGCATGACTTGGACTTACTCTGTCCCCTCTCAGAGCTTCCCACAATAATGCATATGATTGATGCGGATCAGTTACTTTCATTCCGTTAATTTCGACGAATATGAAAGGATCTAATTCGTCGGCCAGAACGGATGCATTAAGCTGTGCAACAACTTCCCGAACCGTCGCAGTTTTTCCAGTTCCTGGAGTTCCGGAGATGTAAATACAAGAGCCTGTGCCATCTGTAATAGCAGCTGCGAGATGGGTGTAGACGGATGAGAACTCTTCCTCACGACACGGGAGATTATCAGGAACGGACGATACGTGAAGACGTAATCGAGCTGTTTGAAAAGGGGAAGCATTAACGGATGGTGAGAGCATACGCATTCCTAAAGGTGTGAATTCTAGTGGCTTTTTGACGACAATTCTATGGAAAATGTCAATGAGTGGTCTCAAGAGTTGATTGGTACTACATACCTCTTATGGCTTGGAGTTAGTAGTTTGGAAGGCGTACGTGGTTTTCGAGGTGTTATAGCTTTCGTAGTCTTTTGCCTTTTCCGCGGTGTTGTAAAGATTTCTTCATCCACTTCTGAATCCTCTTGCTCAGATGCGACACTTGCGTCGTCATCATCTTCGTGCTTCTTCCTGGAAAATATAGGCTTCTTTCTCTTCTTATTTGGTATGCTATTCTCTATCTTCTCGATCAACTTTTCAACACTATCCTCCGTATTATGATATACTTCCTCCCAGATAAATTCATCTGTATATGTAACAGATTTACTGTGTAATCCTCGACGACATATGAATGTTTTCCCATTTTCTTTTCGATTTCTAGGTATTTTTCCTGTCGGATATTTGGCTTTGAAAGCTTCTTCGGATAAGATCGTAGCAATGCCATTAATGGTCGCCAGAGAGATTGTATCGGGATCAGAGGATATGTACAACTCGTTCTATAGTCATTAGCCACAGAGCCAAAATACAAGAAGTGGATTACTTACTTCCAAGAAATCTGAACGCTTCCTTGTCTTACTGTGTATATCCTTTGGGCTACTGAACCACCAGATACTGGCTTTCATTATATCAAGATATGATTCAGCATTCTCATCATAGTCCTCATCTTCCTCGAATCCTGATATAACCCCAACCCAATTTGTATTCGAAGTATCGTTATTTATCAAAACACAATCTGCAATCTTGCAGACAATTTTTCCAGCCTTAGCACCAATAATTCTCCTAGCTCCTGTGCTTCTGGAAAGTCGACGGGTTCTTTTGGCAGCTGTGCTCTCGTCCCCTCTGGCATTGGTCTGCGGCGATGAAGCAGTTTCTTCATGACTCCCGCTTTCGTATATCCATTCCCATTCTGCCTCGTCATCCGATTCTTCTTCTTCGTCTGATTCTTCGATAACCGTGCGGCCGCCTGCTAAACGTTTCCTAGCATTCTCAGCTCTTTTTAATCGTGTCTTTGCATCTGCAGGTAGAATGGTGTTGGATGATGGCAGAGTTGCCTTTGGTGGAGGCAGTATTGGTTTTGGTGACATATTAATTTTGAATGCGTTCAGTTGTTTACAATAAATTTGGCATTATTGACATATTGGAGATTAAAGCTTGACATTTGTTTTAATCTTGTACCTGAATTTAGTGTGATGCGGGGAAAGCTAGCACCACTTTGGTACTGGTGGTATGGCATGGCTTTCAGGGATGTCAAATTGGCAATGGAACTCATCCATTTCTGCAAATTGCCTCTATTTTTCAGGCTTCATTCGCTACAGCGGAATACCCAATAAGAAATACTAAGTAGGTAATTGGTACCCCCCAATTCTCTTATGCACATCTCACCAATGTTAGTAAGACTCACCTAGTATATTTGTCACCTCAGGGTCTTGAAACTCCTCATCTTTTGCTTTTGCTTCGGCATCTCACCAATCATCCCTAGTGTCTCGCTCTAGCAGCTCAGATGCGGCCGAGATTTCCGTCTTTCTGAACCAACAACAACACTTCTGCTGTTTATTATGTATCTTCCCTCATTCCCCACAACAAACACAATCATCTAGTCGGCAATGTATCGATACGTCTCAACAAGCTTCTTTGTATTACAGCTTACAACGCCTTATCTTTTTAGAAGGAAGGAAGTCCTTTCGAACTTTGAATTCTCCAGGCTATAACCAGCATTCATGAAGATCCTTATCTCTAGATCAATTAGCCATCGGTGGGTAAGTTTTCATTCTTTTCAAGCCCAAGCTTCCAGTACTGTGTATATTTGGTATTTGTCTTTGGTATGAACCGGTAGACTGACAGGCAAAATAGGCAAGATGTAGATACCTTTGTTGTATGTTGTTACATGTTTCTTTCCTACCCTAACCGAACCTGAAACTGGCGGATCGATGAAGATGCCTTTGTCAAGTCAAGCTATTTCGCAGGGTAGAGATGCACTGCCATAAGTTTTAATTGTGTGGGCTGTACCTTCATGCTTGAAGTCAAAGTATACAAACCGCAGGAATGGCATATGGAAGTTTTGATATAGGTCAGTCATGGATATTGATCTAGGCCGCTATTCTCTTGTCAAAATGAACCGTGGTTCTCCTCTGATAGCCTTGCTAGTATTGATCCTTGTTGAAGCTGAAAGGTTTTGCTTCTGCACGGAGAGACGCATGTGCATTGGAGTTACACATCATTTTCTATGTTTGTCTGATTGATAGATCTTCAGACAAAGCAATTCTATCAAGAATGGCTTTTATTTCAATAGCTTGGCTCTATTTCGCCACGATGCTACTATCATACTTTGAAGCATCCAAGCATATTGTCAAGAACACTCACCTCACATCTTCAAGGTGATGTGAATGATAACTGCAATATTTCCGTTCACTTCCATAGATTTTGAGAATAAAACAATAGCTCATCAATAATTTACTAACTATACAATAGGGTTCCTTCTTTCTGGGTACTGCCCGCTTTGCACCATCGAAAAGCCAAGTGGCAAAATGAGCCCCTGAGGACTGGATTGTTGAGGTAAGGAAAAGATACCCTTTTACTTCATGTTTACATCTCTTCTCACTTCGGATCGAATTCTATTACTTGAAGTCTCATCATATATTCTGAAAGCTTCATTTCTATCGATACCTGGAAACTTTAAAGTATACAGTACCTAGGTACTTTCACCGCTTAATTTCAGGTGCTGAGATAGTGAATTTGAGAAAGAAGGAAGTTCTCGTCATTTGTTCTTCACTCGCGTAATTATTTATTTTGGCAAGAACCTTTCTTCTCCTTCTCCTTCCTCTACTTCCTTCTTTTGTTTCTTCCTTCCTCCAACCGTTGCCATGGAAAAGTAATTCAACTTAAAACACATTTCCTCAAAACTTTTACAACCTTCTCTTTCATTTTCTAAACAATCATAATTTCAGATTCTGGAATTCTTCAATTCTTTCTTCAATTATAGAATTGATTACACCTTAGTATCACTGCCAATCTAAGTATATCATTTTCGGACCGCGCCACTATCAACAATCAAAACCTCTTCTACTGCATATCTCTCTTTAATTGGTTTGCTCTTACCCTCTACACTCAATTCACAATCTTCAAGTTTGTTAGATCTATCTGCCACCTGTTGCAATTAAATATCGCAGTATCTGTTCTACACCAGGAAGAATTCGGAAGAGAATAGATCGAAAAGATGTATTCGAACAAGATTGCAACGTATGCATAGTTTGATTTTTGTTCATATTATTTTACTAGAGTACCGCTAATTTATATCAGTTTTGAAACTCAAAATGCTGCCGTCTGGGAGAAAGATTCAGAGATAGGTGACATAGAAGAAGTACCTACTACCTCAGCAAGTGGAGTCCAAATTACATCCTTTGCGGTCCAGCGAGGATTGTCTCGTTTTAGCCCGGCGGCTAGAGGAGATAATATTGGAGGACGTGGCCGTGGACGTGGCACTAACAATAATGCTCGTGGACGCGACCGTGTAATTGATAGTGGTAGTGGCTCCAATGGTAGCCACCGCGGCGGCGGAGCTGCTCGAGGTAACTCGAGGGGCAATGTTGGTCGTGATGGGCACCATACCGCTGCCACTGGTCGTCGTAAAGGTACGTCATGGTACTTGCTGATATAATGCTACAAATTGAATACTAAAACATCTCAGAACAACTGGTCGAGAGAACTTCCCTCGGAGGACGTTCTCGCGATGGTACTGGCTTAAGCCACATACCTTCAGTTAAACATCGTGCCGACCAGGAGTTACCTCGCCGTCCGACTGTCAGGGTACGAGAGCCAGGTCTCAATTCAAGCACGGGCTGGGCCGAACCAACTCCTCTCTTGACTGACGCTCGAAGAGCACAACTCCAGTATGAGCGAGAATCACAAGCGAACACAAAACGTTTCTTGAAGAAACCCCTCGATGGGGAGGTTTTTTCGGCCATCGTAGGTCCCTAAAATCATTACTTCTGTATAATGTACATACTGAAATTTGGTAGGGGTTCTACCAATGGCCAATGCAGGAAGATAGCCCCGAGGATTTATTCCGGGAGTATCTCAAAGATCTGGACTATCTCAAGACCAATTGGAAAGTTTTTATTGATTGGAATGGTCCACGCAAATGGTTAAGAATCCGTGCATCAGATCAATCCTGTCAGACTGCAATCAATGAAGTTATCAAGGGCATCAGGCAAGCGGTGGAGAGTGGCAAGGCACGTGCGATTATGGCTACACCTTGTCATATCGTGGTTCCCCCGCGGTATTCGACCGAGTCTACTTTACTGGAAGCACTCGTCAAAGTCAATGGCCAAAAGTATGTGCATGGCCTCAAATTCTCAAAACAAGCTTCCGACGAAGAGTTGAAAAAGCAGAGTCCCTCGCGCTCCTTGAAAGTGGAAGTGACTGTCGAAAAATTCCGTGAGGAGTTGAGTAAGAGCCTCAGTGGGCTTAGTCACCTCAAAGACTGGATGCGGATGCGAGTACATTTCGGGGAATTTCATCTCACGCACTGGCAGACAGATTTGACCGACGGGAAGCAAACTTTGGATGGCTTCATCAAAATGATGAAACGTACAAGAACCAGGGGGACATTCGAAAAAGGGTAAGTTGGTGGCAAACTAGGATTATTTTCACGACTAACATCTATATAGTATCGATCCTCTAATTGTCAAGTACATGATGGACAGAGTGAAACTCAATCCCGACAATTTTAAGGTTTGGAGCGGAACAGATTACGTTCTGGCGGACGTGAAGCCAAAACATGTCGCAATCTTCATCGTACAAAACCCATCAGGTGAAAGGTTTCACATTGAGGGAGATGTCGATAAGACAGATGGAGGATACCAGTGTGGAGAGGTCAAAGTGATTGAAGAAGAACGTCGCAACAAATGTGTTGAGATTGTTACCATCGACATTGAGTAAGTTAATAGTTTATAGTTTCATGATAATTTACTAACATATATACCTATAGACAAGTTGACTGGAATCTCGAAATTATCAGCGAGACAGCTGGTACAATGTTGGATAGTTCATTCCAAGACTTGGTTCAAAGTTGCTTACAACCATTTGTTCGTACGGGCCTAAACACGCAAGGATTGGAGGAGCGTAAAGACCAGTACGACTTCATATATCCTAGAATCGCTCCATATGACCAACCTGGTTTACGTGTCGATAAGGTCACTCTCCAGAGCGTTTACAGATTCAAGACTCGTGCGGGTGGTTACTGTCTTGAATTTACCATTAACAGAGATTGGGATGGTTTAAGAACTAAACCAGAGCCAAACGTCTCTGCCGGAATTACAATGTTTCACGACCAGTGGGATGTAGATATGGAATCAAATGAACATACTATGGCAGATCGCAAATGGGAGAAAGATATGAGTAATTTCTTTCCAGATGGAGGATTTAAAGTTTTTATGGAACAGCTTGATTACCTCCTCGATGGTTTTCATCAGTCGAAGTCAAAATCAATCAGCACAGCCTAAACATCCAATTGGTATTGGACATCAAGCAAGTTCAGTTCCCTTGTTTCGGCCTGCTTGACAACCATTTTCAGGGAATCGCTTACTCAATCTCACTTTCCGAGTTCATTACATCATCTCTTTCTCATTTCTTCTCGTTGCTGATGTCAAATGAGAGGAATTACCATTGGACTTTCAATCGACCTTTACCTGGAGCCAGTTCCCCAATTGGTATTCCTCCTCGACTTGACCAATAAGACTTTTCTGGCGTCTCGAACGATTTGATTTCTACGAGACTATTTGAAATTTGGCTTTTGTTTTTTTTCCTTTTCGTCCATAGCGCAAAGATATCAAGATGTTGAAGCTGAGGCTGTACCGGCGTTTGAGCTAAGAACTTTCTGACGTAGAACTATATTTAGATATTAGCAAAAATTCAATGATTTTGTAACTGAAAAAGAAAACATACCATCTTCAACTACCCGTAAACTATTTGACTTATTATTGACTATGATTTCCAAATCCTTCAAGTTGGATCCAATTTCCTCAACCTTTGCTTCATAAAACTTTGTTGCATCTTTGGTACTCTGTAGTATGTATTAGCCTATTTGAAAAAGAAGTAGCATGTACTTTCCAGTATGGGGTGAAAGAGCAATTGAACCATACCTTCTCAACATAAAATCCAGTTCCAACATCTACAATTACATTCTCGGTATCGGCTAATTGACCGGGTACGTAGAGGGATGTTGTGAGGGGTACGAGGATTAGTTTGCCTGTGTGAAGAGGATGTTAGTCTTTTATTTTGGTTTTGTATGGGGTTTTTTGAGGTGATAGGGGAGGAGAGAACGAGAAAGGAGAAAGGAGGGGAAAAGAGGCAGGCGGAAGAGGGATGGAAGAGAAGAAAGAGGGAGGGAGAAGAGGGGGATTTGTGAAGCTCTTTCTTCCACAAGCAAGCATCTGGAAAGAATAACTTTGGCGCAAATCTCCAGACCCAGCCTCAATCATCCGCACAACCACCCGCACAACACAAATCCTCATATCCATCCTCTCCTCTCTCTGCCAATCCGCCCCTACATTCTCATCCCCAATCCTCAATCCCCAATCCTCAATCATTCAACCTCTCTCCCTCTCCACCCCAAAATATAAAATTCTGAACCCCCAATCCCAGATCAAATCCCTAACCCCCAATATCCCCCCCAATTCCAATTTCCCCCTTAACAAAACACAACCAAAAAAAAAAAAAAAAGATAAAACAAACCTTCAACCTCCTTCCCAACTCCAACCCCAATACACCTCAAACACTCACGAAACTTATTCTGCGCAGCGCGCAATTGTTGAAAGGAAGAAGTGAGATGTTCGAGTTCGTCGTCTAGTTGTTTTTTGACTTGGGTTAATTGTGGGGTGGTGAGGGTGGTTAGGTCGACTATTTTTGAGGAGGGAGGCGGAGAGGTTAGTTGGGTGGTTTGGAAGCTGGAGGGAGGAGAGGAGGGGAGGGGTGGTTCTGAAGGGTGGTTCTGAGGGGGAGGGGAGAGAGGGGGGGAGGAGAGGGGGAAGAAAGGTAAGAGGGGCTTTGAGGGGGGTGAGGGGGGTGAGGGGGGAGGGGAACAGGAGATACGAACTTTGTTGAGATTTTTGAGACATATTTTCTTTGCTTTCTTTGCTTTATTTCGTTTCCCCGTTTTCTTTCTTTCCCCTCGTCTATCCTTAACAATCAACCAACAATTTGATTTGAACTTCGAAAATGTAGGTGATGTAGGTAGGCTATGTATGACAAGCAGAGGATTCAATAGTATGCGAACAGTAAAAGTTTCGAGAGTTGAGAGTTCTTAAATCTCCGTATGTATGTACTGAGTGATCGCGGGATGGAGTTTCTTAGGTATGGTATGGATGGTAAGGTTATGTTTGATATCTACCTACTCCTACCTAGGACGTACTTGGGAAATAATTATTTCGGAGGTTAGTAATGGTGGGGTGTGATTAGTCAGCTGTGGCTGAAGCCACAGCTACGTAGTAGACGGGTATGTTTTAAAGTAAGAAGCATCAGGAGGTGCGGGGATTGAGTTGATGGGAGATACTGATGATAATTTTGGAAATTCTTCAACTATATATTCTTTATAGACGTCCTCAATTTATTGCTGAAGAGTGATCTCTACTTCAGAACTAGATACAAGTAGGAATAAAACGACTCTATCGATATTTTCGAGAGTATATTTCTCGAACGCCATCCAATGCTCCGTCTCTCCATGATAATCCACTATCCATTTTCCACCTAACGCCATGATTAATCCATAAATTCGTTAACCAACGAACCTTCCCATGATTCACAATTTATACTTAAAATCCTATTCCATTGTCTCCTTCAGGTTGGAATAACCTCACTAATCCCATTGCTGCAGCTGCCGCTACACTGCCCACAATCACCATTTCTACACCACCTTGACAATTCCTTCGAATACATTTCCCCTCTTTAAAACCTGTTATCGTACCTGTTTTCACATATCCGAAAACAAATAATGTAATCACCATTACCACAATCGAGATGTATAATCCTTGATAAACGTGGGTTACGAAAAGGTAAGGTAATAAAGGTAATAAGCCACCGAGAAAATATCCAAGAGAGATTGTAAGAGCAGATGTAAAGGCACGAGATGTAGCGGGTTCTTCTTCGCAGTGTTGGAATTGCATCACAAAGTCGGTGAGAAGATCCGTAGAACAATTGGCAAGGTGGGTAGTGAGATCTTCGATAATGTGCTTGGGTAAATTGTATGGCTCGAATACTTCCTTGAGATCGGACAGTACGCCTTGAAGATCGGTTTCTATTCGTTTTATCGTCTTTTCTCGTTTGGCATGATATGATGCACTGATGAAATTGTTAGTCAATTCTACTTTTGAAGTAAATGACGCTCCGCTGGCCCTCCCGGGGCCACTGCCGTGGAGGCAGACTATTTGATGATAACTTCATATCACTCAAATATCTTTCCCAGCAAAATCAAAGGGTAACTTACAGTTCACTCTTAGCAGCAAGATATCCACCCAAACCCATAGAAATAGCCCCAGCAATCAATTCGGCCATTCCACCGCCAATAACAACCTTCGAATCTCCAAAAGCCGATAATCCAGCTGTCAAAGCAAATGGTACTGTCAAACCATCACTCAGACCAATTGTCGCATCTGAAATAACTCTCGCATCAATTCTCCATCCTTTCTTCCTTGATGATTTTTCCGATCTCGAATCTTGGGATTCTAAATCTAATGTACTTTCATCATCATCATGATTTCTTTCGACGGATTCCGAACTGGGATTAGTGTCGCCATTGGATGATAGGAGGGGTTGTCTAGAGGTAGTGTAATCGATTTCTGGTATCCTCGGTTCTCGATTTGATTTAGGTTGTTTAGGAATGACCTCTTGGTAAAAGAAGAGGTTTTTTAAAGTAACTAAAACCATAACTGCGGTAGGTGATGTGTGGTTTGATGTTGTGTTCGTTTTCTTTTCACAATTGGTTGTGGAAGTTTCAGTACGAGAGGACAAGTGGTACTTGTGATGTCATTCAATGAAAATGTCTCTCTAGAATAGTAATTTCAGAGATGAAAAAGAGTATATGCTTTTTCTGATTCTCGATCTTGACTTTCTGACTGTTTGCACCTTATTGGATATAATTCCTTGTTGGTTTCGGATTGGGAATTGGATTAAAAAGGGAGACCTTCTCTAGATCTTTATATGTTGGATAGTATATATCAATCAATTAATAGCTTAGGAGCTTATACAAATGAAGTGGAGAAAAGTGGAAACTTTTGGGATCCATTTTAATGATCAATTTATTAGTGGCTGGTTGGTTTGACTTCAACCACGATCATAATTCAAAGGTGCTTGTTTGAACATTTACAGAGTAGAGCTTGCTGACCATTAATTATCTCTCTTTTGATTCGTTGAACGTGGGTAATGCATGAATGGTGATTGGTTGATTAGTCTTGACACTCACTTATGGGGCAAATATTAGTTTCTTTGTGCGTCAATAAATGGATCATTCCCGCTTGCGCTTATCCTAAAGTAGATAATAAGAAGACCCATAATTGAAAGCGGGGAATTCGGCAAATATAATTACTATTGTGGGTAGAATATCTAAAAAAACTTGGATGAGAAATGGAACATTGGAAACTTGAATTGGGGCCTATGATATTCTATCTCCTTATATTTCAATTTCTGGCTGCTGGACTTTAATATTAGATTTCCATATTGATTGAAAGTTTCTGGTGCGAAGCAAAAAATACTCCGTGCACCACCAACAACAGGAACACAATCCACAATCCAAACGCATTGATCGACCCGGAGCTCCAAACAAATATAAAAAATTCAGGGATCCAAGATACCTTAGCTCCTGTGATACCCCCCTTGCTTGTTAATATCCGTTATGCCATTGGCTCTTTGACGGCTTTATTACAAAACATGCCATGAGATTGGTTGAATACATTTGCCCTACCAACATCAAGCTTTCCAACGCGCGTATGAAAGACCCTCGAGGCTTGAAAAAGACCTAGAAGGCTGACATATCCTGGTTGTCTAGAACAACTTGTGTTGTGAAAGATTTTTATATGCTTACAACAGGACTCACGGTCTCGAACAAGATATTATGAATACTCCGAAACTCCGAAGCCATAAAGATGATGAAGGCGTGTTTTCGGATTTCACTTGTGTAAGATGACGAAGTTGCATAAACGGTGAAGGAGAGAGCAATGATATCATTAATCTGTTACGTGTAAAACTCTCCTGGATATTCCATGGCCAATTCCTCCAAAGGCTTGATGTTTGCTTGCCAGTATCTCCTCCCATAATACCATGTTGTGCATAGATTTGCCACCAAAGAAACGTGATAAGAGAAGTCTCTCCATATCAATGTCTTCCCACCCCATTCTAAGCACCACCTTCTCTCTTAGCATACTCCTCCTCAATTCTCTCCTCATACAGTCTATCAGCCTCTAGTTGAGCCTCGGATTTCTGTCCTGTCTGTGTTGATTGATCATTTGAGGTATTTGCCGTAGTGAAGTTTGATACCTCGTTGGTAGAGGTTGAAGGAGTTTCAGTAAACGATGGCATTTTGTATGAGGATTTTCTGGAGGTTGATGATTTGTTTTGTGATAATCTCTTGTGATAGAGGATGAATAAAGTGACTGGATGATGGATATAAATACTGGAAGTCGAAAGCTTGAAGAGAGCTTCTTATGCGATATGTGTGGCGGTGGCTGTGCATTGTGGCGTGAAAAGTATTAGGTAATAAAGGGGAACTTCTCGTTCCACGTACTTCTTTTTCAATGAGAAGGACAGGCTCGAGTTCTATGAATTGTGACCTTTTGTCCGATTCTTTCCGCAAGTATGGCAATGTATTGATATGGAGTGCATTTCATCTATTTGCCCACAATATCAAAGTTCGAGTTCAAGGGAAAAACATACAACTGCATCACAAGCAGGGGAGCATGGTCATTGGGTTTCATACTCTTAACCTACAAGGGCAGCTTTAATTCTTACGTACCGTCTCTAGCTTTTAGACAAGTATGACTTAGAATAGCATAAGTACATATACATAAAACATTGAATCTCTTGCTTCTCTAATGCCTTCTACTAAAGTTCATCACGGCCCTAAATATCCACCCCGCTGATCCCTCCGCTTCCCCGTTCACCTGCGACATCGAACTACTACCTCCCCATTTCCTTATATATGATTCAATCTACATGACTCATCCCCGTATCTCTGTATACAGTATACTTGGTTGATTCCACAGGAGCCTCTTTAGAAGTGATGCAATGTACATTATTGTGTCCAAGTGGCTCATAATCGTGGTTCGTCGTCTTCTTTATCTAGAATTGTTATGGCGGCGGAGCCCTGCATCTCTCTACGGGGCGGCTTCTGGAGCTGTTCATTGATTTGCACAGTTGGACTGGCTTGTTCTAAATAGGTTAGATAATTGGGAGAGGATATGCGTGGGATGATAGGCGTGTTGATAAGTACCTCGAATTTGGTATGGTAGCACACAAGTGTACTATGTGACAAGTGGTAGGGTAGCTCACTATATATCACCAAGGCCTGGAGTACAAATGATGTTTGCCGTGTACCATGCTCTGTACTAATATCTTACAATCGCTGGAAGGATGAAGGGTAGCGCGTCTATCTCCTGAACATATACCGCAGACTTCACTCTGCTGATTCAAGCGATGCTTCCTATCTCCGGAATCAAAGTTTCGAATTTACTGGACCGTCATAGTTTGAGATTGGTTACATGCAACAGATCAAACTCAGCGAGCTCCTCGGCGTGGTTTCATAGGCCAACATGTAATATTTCTGGTTTCTGGTTTCTGGTTCTTGGCCAACATAGTATACTTAGCTTGTCGGGTAGTAAATAATAGCAGATGATTCTAAACCTAATTACATCCAGAGCCAGATCATACCTGTTTTGAGTACGGGGGTTAGCATTCAACTGATGTTTCACCTCTTGTCTGTGGATATCACTTGACTGCACATGTCGCTGGGCATTCATTGGGGTTTCCTTCACAATACAAAGACTCTACCATTAAGGTATCTATACAAAGCCAATTTCAAGGGTACTTCTAGCATTGTAGATTTATTATATTTCGGTATCAGCCAGAAACGTATGTATTGGAGCTCTGGGAGATGAAATAAAATAAAATAATATATAAATCAAAATATAAGTTGATGTAATCAAGATCGAACGATATCTTCGGCATGTACGACTGTAATTATTATATAAAAACACCGAGTTAGAGAAATAAACTTCTATATATTTTTATAAGAATACCTCTATCTCCCTGTTAGTATAAATAAAGTTTATTGAGCTCGCGCTCCCTGCCCCCAAATAATGAATTCTTGGTAATCTTACAAAATAAACAAGATAATCTAGAGATTGAAGAAATATTATAGAGAGTATACATCTTCAATCGGAATATTTTCAATTAATGATCTCTGATTAGAAAAGATAATATAAATAAATAAACAACTTTAATCGTGAGCATAAGAGGAGGAATTCAGAATCTCAACTGAGAGAACCCCAAGCCGAGAAGAGAGAATGTTAATCAAAATTTATAATGTAAAATAAAAATATAAAAGAAATTATTTTATTAAAATATTATATATTCTCATATTTTTTTTATATTTATAAAAAGGAAATAAATTGAAGAGATTTAAAAGCTTTTACATATTAATTTTATAATTAATCCATTATTTTAAAATTTGATAATTTAATAATTATTTATTTAATATAGATGTAACGATATGTTACGAGGGTAGCCGTCTAGATCGCGTCGAAGTGCTCTAGGCTCTCGAGGTAGGTTTATAACTAGGCGTCAAGTAGGGACTTAAAGTAATGACAATAATGATATGCTATTCGTAACTGATAGTAGAGTATACTAAATGATTGATCTTGAGCACGAAGCTCTATACAAAGGAAATCCATCTAGATTATATAGACCTTCGTACCGATGGTTACTCAGTAGGATCAATGCGGCTCAGTACTGAGCTCACTGATCCTTACTGAGCTAGTCACGTGATGTTGATTGCACGTGAGGGTTTCTTGTTACTCGGCGTAACATATCACTGGTATTCACTTGGAAGTGAAGTCGTTACTAGATCAAGTAGAATGTAGGTAAACTAATTGATAACTAAGTTGAGCACGAAGCTCCTAAACTATGAAACTACTCTGACTATATAATGATCGATAAAGGGAGCCCCCAGGAGCTTTCTGGCTCCTCAGGGCTCCTTATCACGTGATTCCTTTTCATCCCAGGACACTAATCCTAATGATGAATCGTGACAATAGAGTTAATAAGAATATATAATAATTGAGAGAATAAAAAATGTTTAAGTCTTAAGCAACTATTTAAAAGGTCTACTTTGAGAGCTCCTCCGGTGATACTTATAAAATGAGTTCATACGGTGAAAGTGATATTAAATATAATATTCGATATGTTTTATTATACATCTAAATATAAGCAGCTGTTTAATTGATGAGATCAATGTTAAATAGATGTTGTACCTAGCAGATCTATACAGAACTTATAAGAAATAATAAAAGATATAATCTTTCAAAAAAAATCAAATTCCTTTACTAGTAATTATATTTAACCTCAATAACTTGAATAGCCTCAAAGATCTCTTCTTCCGAACTGTCTCCCGTATCCCATATCCCATATCCCATATCACTTATATCTTTTTATATCTTCTTCTATTTTTAAGGCTTTTTACACACCCTACAAAACTTCCCTCCTATTATCAGAGAATCCTCTATCAGAAAATCCATTCTATTTATATCACCTCCTCAACTCCTCTATAGCACCTACACCCTCTAAAGTCATTGCATTCCCTCAATACTCCCAAGCACTACATATACCCGAAAAATGATAAATCCTATAACATCAAAATATCTCATCTCCAACTCTTATATCAGCCCAATCACCCGTCAACTCACATACACAAACTCTTTTTCCACCCTTCTCCTTTTCTCCGTGGAATAGACGAGAAGTTCGAATATCTCCCGTATGTTGACCAATACTTGTACACATATATACCAATCCAAAATACCTACTTATATATATACCCTCTATTACAATATCATCCTCAATATCGGTACAAAAACAAATCAAAAGCCCTAATGACCGTATAATATAAAAAGTTCATTACATGAAAAAGTCCAACTCGGAACTCAAATCCGAAAGTCCAAAGTCTAAGTCCAAAGTTCAAATCTAAATTTTTATCCAAATACACTTATATATCTATGTATTTATATACTTATATAATAGATTTAAACAAATCTAAGTATAGGAAATTCCTCTCTTCCCTCAAGCACTTACTCACTTCATACAATATAATCTACTTCCCTCGCCCCAGTGGCGGTAAAGATCAACTAATAATCAAACACAATTACAATTACAATCTTTTATAATTATTAAAAAAAGAAAATACCAATAAATAAACACTTCTATCATCAAACCACCGCACTATCAAACCTATCACAATTTAAACCAGACATTAAAATCTAATAAATAATCATACACCTAACTATCTACCTCTAATCCAGATATTATAATATAGTAATATAATGGTGGAAAATATTTATACACTCAAATATATTAAAGAAAGAAGAATATGATATATAAGATTTAATATATCATTTTCAATATCCAAGACTCGATATTAA